TGGTCAGTTGTGCCTGGGGCAGTGTTTCAGGTACCCGAGGTCCTTGCCTGGCACGACTGTAAGAGCAGACATGCAAACCCGAGCCTCGTAAGCAGTCCTAAAAATTAGTGGGTGGTGGCAGCTTGCAAAATTGTGAAAATACTCAAACCTACTGAATTCACACTTTAAAATGGACAGTGAGTTTCATGTTATGTGAGTTTTGTCTCCATAAACATTGGATCTTGGCCTCACTTTTTTTTTTTTTTTTTGTACCAGGGATTGAACTCAGGGACACTCAGCCACTGAGCCACATCCCAGCCCTATTTTGTATTTTATTTAGAGACAGGGTCTCAGTTCCTTAGCGCCTCATGGTTGCTGAGACTGGCTTTGAAGTTGAGATCCTCCTGCCCCAGCCTCCTGAGCCTCTGGGATTACAGGCTGAGCCACTGCGATTGACTTCACATTGGTTTTTCACTTAGGGCTGGGGTTGTATTACAGTGTAGAGCACTTGCCTAGCATGTGCGAGGCCCTGGGTTCCAACTTCAGTACACAAAGAAAAAAAAGTTGTTTTTATAATGAACACATGGGGAGAAAAATAATTAGTGGGAACATTACAATTGCTCTATATGACTTTCAAACATCAAAACTACAATTGGGTACAAATGTATAGAGAAAAAAATAATAAAATGCATATTTAGTGCATTTGGAACATTTAGGAACCTGAAAATTTTTTATGTCTTTGGACTAACCCTATCAGAGGAGATCACTGTGGAGTTGATGATCAGGTCCAAATGCACCAGTGATAAGGCCTTACCAGAATTTACCAGGTATTAGTTGGACCCATGCAAGGAGGGTCCGTAGGCCCCGGAGCCGGGCATGAAGCATTCCATACTTTTACAGAGGCGTGGGTGTATTGAATACTGCAGATCTGGAGACTTGGAAGTGGTTAAGGTGGAAATTTTTACCCTGTGTGTCTTACCGCAGGGTTTTTTTTTTTTTTTTTTAATATAAATGACTTAGGAGTAGCTGGAAGGGCGTTGGCCAAGGCCTCGCCCCTCCCGCAGAGCCAGGCCTCCCTGCCTCCCCTGAGCACTGAGCGCTCCTTCCTTCCTAAGTCCATCCGTCTGCTTCCCACGGCGACCCTTGGCACCTGCGGTGTCGTGGGAGGTCCCGAGCGCCTTTCCTGTGCAGTGTGTGGCTGGCGTCACCTTCATCAGCTCCTGCCTCAGCCCTGTCACGGCCGCCGTCCGCCGTCACCTGGCCTCCGGCCGCACGTGGCCTCGCGGGGTCGTGGAGGCCGCTCCACGTTCTCTCCCCGCGGTTTCCTCCAAGCGCTCCGCTCTCCGGGGTTGGAACTGCGCTTCCAGCAGCGTCGTCTTCCGGTTCCTGGCTGCGCTTTCGCCCTGGCGGCCAGGTCCCTCTTTCAATTAGGTGGTCCGTGCAGGGAGCGCTGCACACACCTGCGTCTGCAGGACGGCGCTCGGACGACTTTGGAAGAGGTGACGTGGTGGATCCGGGATTAGGATGTGCAGCCGTCACTTACCACCTGGCGGTTTGTAGACTGGAGACTTAGCGACAAAGTTTGCACTTTATGTAATTACAACCTGGAGTCGGGCGCGGTGGGCACGCCCATCATCCCGACTAAAGGCTGCGGCAGGAGGATGGCAAGTTGAGGCCAGCCTCAGAAATTTATGTACTTACGTCTTAAAATAAAAAGGCTGGGGTACATCCCAGCGGGGGATACACCTCAACTCTGATAGAGCCGCCCTGGTTCGATCCTCAGCACCCTCCGTTACAACCTACGGTGGTAACTGGTATTCGGACTGTGGGGGCACTGGTGGTATTGAGCGTGGTGGAACCATGCCCCGCGGGGACTGCCGAATCGGCTTATTTCTCCGCTGCTTTTTCTGGCTCTAGGACTGAAAGCACAAGGGGCCTATTAGCCTTTCAGACTTTGGTCCACCCTCTTAGAGAATAGGGCATACACGGAGGAGAAAGGGGAGAGCTGGATCTCCCACCTGCAGGCAATAGGAGCAGGAGACCACAGAGCGTCCCTGGACCTCAGGAAGATCCCCAGCCTGGGGTGAGGACAGGCAGGTGAGCGAGTCCCAGAGCCAGCTTAAGAGCAGAGCTGGGAGTCGGGGGCTGCACCAGGTGATGAGACTCCAGGCAGGCTGCCCACAGAGGTCCTTGTACCCATCCAGCCTGGGGCAGCAGGAAGGGAGAGCAGTGACTGGTGTGACGGATGACCAGTGGCCAGCAGGCTCTCCCGCAGGGCCCATCCCTGCTCGTCCCCGACAGGTCCTTGTCCTGTCTAGGGGTCGGATAGAACCCTGAAAGTGGCTCCTGTGATGTGGCAGCCCGTGGATTCGTCAGAAATTAGGCTGTCGTTTAAAAGAAAGAGCACTGTGCGGGCACTCCCACGTTGTTGGGTGGAGAATCCTGCCTGTCTCCCAGTGCCACCGGTAATCACACTGTCATCCCCACATACCAGCCTGTTCCCAAGCTTTACCCAACATACATAATGAAATGAGATAAGTTATTATCTCCACAGTTTGAGGTTGGGGGCGGGGCAGTTTGGAGGGAGTTTGCTAAAGGAAACTTGCAGAAGGTCTGGGACAGCAAGGCTGGAGAGAAGGAGTTCAAACTCAGACTGTCCCTGGTGCCTTTGAGCCACAGGAACAAGGGCTGGGTTGTGCCCCTTTGTTTTCCCAGTGCCCAACAGGAAACCAAACATGGGAGATCCTTCAGCGCTCTGTTCCTGTGTCCCAAATGCATACCAGAGGCTGCTCACCAAGCTGCAGCTTTGAGGGCAGGCACTCAGGTCCTGCTGTCACTGAGCCCCTTGGGTGGCCAGGAAGGGAGGGGCTGCCTACTTCCAGCAGGCCGCTCTGCCATCTACTGGCTGATCTGTGTAACTGCAGGGCCTGACCCTTGATGCTCCTGGGACCCTGGTCCTCTAAGTCTTGCTTCAACCTGCCAGGACACACGTCCCCTTGTCCAGAGTATCCAAACTGTATATGCCATCGGCCCTTTAGTCACTTAGTAGCCTTCTAGGTGATCAGATCCACTGTTATGATGTTGCAGAGCTTGTATCAAGCAACACTTATTTTACATAGTAATTGCCCCCAAATACAAGAGTAGGGATGCTGGCAATTTAGATGTGCCAAAGAGAATCCATGAAGTGAAAGGTGAAAGGAAATAAAAAATGTATGCTGAAGTTGCAGAGATCTATGGTATATTACAATTTCTTACTGTGCCTAGTTTATAGATTCAACTTAATCATAGGTATATATAGAGAGGAAAAACTTAATGTACATGGTTTGGTTCCATCTGCACTTTCAGGCATCCGTTGGGGGTCTTACAATATATCTCCTGTGGATAAGGAAGAGGCCACTGTAATGCCACAAGACCTTTCATCCAGGATGCCAAAGAGGCAGCAGAGACAAACTCCTGCATTCCCTTCATGAGCTAGGTTCAGAGAACTATGTTGCTGGCCTGGCATGGTCAGATTTGTTGAAAAATCTGCTCAGAAGTTTAAACATACAGGTGTACACTTTGAAGAAAGAATTCCTACTTTACTTCAAAGGACATTCGCATTTTATGTATTTTTAAAGTTACTTTTATTTTTTAAAATTCTTATTTTTTCCTTTTAGTTATACATGACAGCAGAATGTATTTTGACATATCATATACATGGAATATGATTTCCCATTATTGTGGTTGTACATGATATGGAGTTACACTGGTTATATACTCATGTATTAACATAGGAAAATTATGTCCAATTCATTCTACTATTTTTTTTCATTTTCTCCACTGTCTAATCTGGTGAACCTCCACTCCTCCCTCCCCACCTCCTATTGTGTGTTAGCATCAGCGTGTCAGAGAGAAAATTTGGCCTTTTTTTTTTTTTTTCAGGATTGGCTTATTTCACTTAGCATGATAGTCTCCAGTTGCATCCATTTAACCCTTCTGGGTTGTGTCCTGCTCAGGGAAATAGCAGAGGCTTCCCAGGGCTGTCTGGGCAGGAGGCCCAAGACCACCTGGCAGTTGCAGAGCAGATGAATAGTTCCTAAGATGCAAAGGGGGCTGCAGAGCCAGCAAAGGGGAAGCTGCAGGTGGAGCAGAACTTGAGGGACTGAGGTGGCTCTACAGATGCCAGTGTTGGTGGGTGGGCTCCCAGGGGACTGACTCCCCACCTCCCACACTTTGACAGCCACAGCCACTGGAAATGAAGAGGGGACCTGGATAGACTGGAACTGAGCTTCTGTCCCTCTGAACTGGATGCCTGAAGCAGAAATGAAGTGGAGGGACCTTTATGAAGACGAAGAAAGGCTTCCAGTTGGACCTGACATCCACCAGATGCTACCTTCAGAGTACGTCCAAAATGAGTGTCCCTTCTCTTCTTCACTGTTACCCGGGTGTCTGAGCCACCCCCACCTCTTCAACAGATCTCGGTAGCCTCCTCGCCAGCCTCACAGCTCCTGGGGGGCTTCCTAGAGTTCATTCTCAATAGCCAGAGAGTGCCTGTTAGCTGGGAGGGCTGGGCAGGGCAGCCAGGCTGAGAACCCTGCAGTGGTCTCTTGTTGCTGAGTCTCCCTGTGGCCACCACTTCCTCTCCAACCATCTCCTACTACTCAAACCATGTTCATTCCACTGCAGGACGGCTCCTTTTACAGGGTCCTCGGCACACTGTGCCCTCTGTCTGTAAGTCTCTTCCCTCACTTCCTTCAAAGTCACCTTAGGCCTTCTCTGCTCCTTTTGCAAATATTCTCCCACTTCTTGGACCATTCCTACCCGACTCCCTAGCTTTATTTTTTCTCCTGCAGCAGGAACTTCTGACAGTATGGTGTGTGCTTTGCTGGGGATGGAACCTGTCGCATTGCACGACTAAACACTCAAGTCACTCCAGGTGAACTGGGCTGCACGAAATAACCAGAAACAGAGAAATATCTTTTTCTTTGGGTCCTGTGACAGCTCCTATGACCTTAAGGGTCCATGGAAAGAGAGGGAGAAGCACGTGCTGAACCCCTTTATTGGGAAAAAGCCAGTCAAATGAGGCAAGGGGTAGGATTACAAGGGAACAGGTGAGTGTAGCTCAACCCCTCTGGGTGCTGTCGCCAGAGTCACAAGTCATGGCACTACTGTGCCAGACCACAGTGATCTTTCAGATCCCCGTGGTGCAGCAGGAGTTAAAGGTGCGTGCATTTGGAGTGGCTCTCCACAGGAACCCAGGGCTTTGCCCATGCTAGTCAAACACTCTACCACTAAGCTATATCCCCAGCCCCATAGTATGGTTTTTGTTCCTTATCTCTAGACACTAGGAGTTAAATTCTATGAAGACAAAGATTTTTGCCGTTTTACAAGTGGACAGTCATTTCTCTTCAGGCCTTTGCATTTCTCATCTCCCTTCTTCCATTTATGGTTTCCTGGTTCCTCACCCTCTGCTTCTCCTCTTTTGCTGGCCCTGCCCTGAGACTCTCTTGCGTCTGGTGCAAGGAACTTAAGGGACCAGCAGCTCTGTGGCTGTAGGGAGAGGAGCCCGGGAGGCACAGGCAACATCTTCTAGGGTCACCATCTTGGGCAGAAAGCAGCGAGAAGGGATGTCATCGGGGTTTGGATGTCCACCCTCACCTCTCAAGGTACAAGAGCTTCATGGCCGGGTGGTTACAGTTTATGGGCCAAGCAGGGGTTATAGCCCAGGCGCCGGAGTCTGTGGCTTAGGCAAATCCTTCCAGGACCATGGCCTCACAGCCACTTCGGAACCCTCAGGGCTGCTGTGGAAATAACAGGATGGTTAACCCAGGGAGTGCTGGCCTGCCACATGCCCACCATCCCGCACAACGGGTGGCTCATGCCAGCCCAGGACACGGGGCTCTGCTCTGCTCAACAACCCGACTCTGGTCGGCCTTCTGAGCGTTTGGAGTGGGGTGTCCACTTCCGAGGCCGCCGTGCCCCATACGCAGCGGATCACTGCCTCCGAACATAAGCCTTACACTTGTGCCACTGCAGGACAGGGAAAGAGGGACCTGACCCCAGTCACTGATGGGACCATACGAGGCACATTAACTGGGCTCTTGGCAACAGAACGTGTTTGCAGGGGGCCGCGTCCCCACACGGTGCCCGAGGCCTGCCTTCGCCGCTCCGCACCTGTGTTGGGGTAAAAGGCCCGGGACCTGGTCACGTGCTCCGTCGGACCAATCCCCGCAACCGGAAAGGGGAAGTGTAGTGATTGGCCCACCCGGCGCGGGGGCGGAACCCCGGTCAGAGGGGAGGAAGCGGGTTCTCCCGGCCTTCGATTCCGCGGTCCTCGGGATTCTCGTTCTCTCGCGAGACTCGGCGCCGGGAGGGGCCTCTAAGCTCCACAATGCACCGGGCGGGGCGGGGCAGTCCCGTATTGGCGCGGCCCGGAGCGCCGCGCGCGTCATTTTTCCGAGCCCGGTCTGGGAGCCGCGCTCTTCCCCTGCTGTTCAGCGCTCGCCTCCCGACCCTTGCTCAGTCGCCTCCCCGCCCCCGCACCCCAGACGCCGTCCCCTCGACCGCCTGGGAAGCCTGCGGCTCTTTGCTCTCTGTCACCGCCTGGCTTGCGCTCCGAGCGCCCATTGTTTTCGCTCCTGCCGGGCGGGGGATGTAAGCCGAGGCCCGCAGTGGGCTTCTGGGGGCTGCGACCCCCTTCAGTTACATGCAACGTATGGGCCGCCTAGGTGCTTTCGTCAGCCCGAGGCGCCGGGACCCTCCCAGGGCCTCTCGGTCCACCTGCGTGCCGTCAGCACAGGGCCTGCCCCAGGTGCCCATAAAACGGAAGCGAACCTGGCGTTTCGTTCCCGGTGCTCTCGACCCGCCGGCTCCTGGGGGCGCGCCCTCCTCCCGGGATCGTGCCCCTCGCTCCGCCCCACAGTTTCCCGTCCTTTCTTTGATCAGACCTCGATTGAGCCTGTGAGGAGGGGGCGGAGGACCCGGCAGCTGGGCACTGTATCCGCCAAGCTCAAGGTCTGGCAGGGGAGGAGCTGTGAGCCCCCGAGGGGCCTGCACCGGAGAATCTGAGGCTCAGGGATGGGCCGCCAGTGGCCAGGTCAGGGCTCGAGGCAGGCTAGGGTTGGAAGGCTCATGGGTGAGATTGGGCCTGTCTCCCGAGGAAAGTGGAGAAGGCCTTGAGGCCAGGGTTCCGGGTCCTTAAGGATGATAGGCAGGATTGTGCAAGATTAGAAGGGTGTTTTTGGAAGATCCCTCTGGCTGCGGCGGTGGGTCACGTGAGAAGGAGTGCAGACTGGAGGGAGCTGGGCAGGCAGAGGTGGGAAAAGAAACAGCCTGAGCGAAGGGTGGGTGTAGAATTGTGAACATGTGCGGAGCCTTTCTGGCTTCAGTTCTCCCATCTGTACAGTGTGGGACTTGGAATCCTTCTTTAAATTCCTCCCACCTCTGATTCAAATTTAGCAACATTTCAAGCAGGTGAGAATTTACAGGCGATTAAAATGGGAAAGATAATGGGAAGGAAGACACATGAGAGCTTGAGAGAGGGAGGAAACAGACACCGTGGGGTCATTGGGGAGAGGTTTTTGAGGGGCGAGCAGGACCCAGAGCCTCCAGGTCAAGATAACTATTCTCAGATTCAGACCCCTGAGTGTTCTGCTGTGTGACCTTGTACAGTTCACCCAGTTCTCTGTGTCTCAGATTCTGCCTCTGTAACATGGGTAGTAGTGATCCACATCAGTACTAAGTGACATTCTTACTAGCACAATACTACTGCCAAGTGACACTGGGTTTTAGGCGGTGTCATAGGGAACTGCAACTCAGAAACAAACAAACATGCATTTCTTAAATCTTCTTTGGGAAAACACACAGACTGGTAATATGGTTTGCCTCCAAAGAGTAGAACTGAATGTTTGGTGTATTTGTTGGGGTTTGGGGGACAGAGAGAATTGGAAAGAAAATTTTTTTTACTTTTTTTTTTTTTTTTTAAATTATCAGCAACATGGCAATTCAGAGATGTCGGGACTTCTTGTTTTTACACTTATGTATCTTATCAAATTTAGTAAGATTGGAAGGCAGATGGAGTATTAACAAGGACATGTTCTAGGTTCCTGGGCACCTGAGTTTTATTGAGAGCGTGACACCAAAACATACTGGGTTTTAGCTTCTTCATATGTTTGGGACAAGTGAAGGTTTTATAGAGGGCAAAACAATATACTAGGACAGTGTGGGCCTGTGTCTGGACTCACTGATGAGCTGGTGTGAGTACATAACCCCTCAGAATCTCAGCAAGACCAATTCAGTAGTGAGGGATGTGATGAGAGAAGACAAGTGCGTGCACAGGGCCAGCCCAGCATGTTGCAGGAGCCCAGTGAAAGGGACTGCCATTCTTTCTCTGCTTTTGGCTTTGAAGAGCCTATCATGGTTACGCTGGAGATATGTGACCAACTGATGTTTACCTCTTTCATCTCAAGTTTAATTTCATTCAGAGGTTTTTAGAACATGTAAAACTGGGGAAATGTCACAAAGCTGAGTTCAGTTGACAGCAGTTAGCAGAGTGGAGGATTTTTACAGGCATTCCACACGCTGCTGGGTGGTAGGAGAATCGGTGGCGGCCTCTTACCCCCTGGTGAGTTACCAAGTGCACCTCTGAAGCAGTGTGATTGCCTGCAAGGTGAGCAGGACCTGGTGGCTCAGGGTGGTAAGACGAGGCACTGGGCACGATCTCCTAGAAAGGCAGTGCATGCTGTGCAGGGCATTTAGAGAGACAGTGCTGGGATACGCATCTAATTTTGTGCACACACTAACACACAGTATATGATATATGCTAGATCTTAGGTGACTGTATGTGTTTGCATGAGATGTTTCTAATATGCTGTTTTGTAATTTGCTTGTTTATCTTGGATAACTGTGGGAGCCACTCTGAATGATCATGCCTTCCAGTCCTGAAGCCCAAGGCTCTGACCAATCACTACATTTTGTGGTGACTCAGGCATTGTCCCAGCTTGGATAGCAAGGCATGGCTTCAGGTGTAGGTATCACCCACAGGGGTTGAGCTATACTCACCTACTCCTTTGTAATCCTACCCCTTGCCTCATTTGAATGGCTTCTCCCCAATAAAAAGGGTTCAGCATGTGCTCCCGTATTTCTCTTTCTACAGACCCCTAAGGTCAGAGGAGCCAACACAGGACCCAAAGTAAAAGGTATTTCTCTGTCTGTGTGGTTATTTTGTGCCAGCCCAGTTCACCTGAAGTGACCTTAAGTGTTTAGTCATGGAACATGACAGATAACTTTCCATATGAGCCTGTACAGTTTTAACACATTCTCCAATTAAAAAAAAAAGCATTTTAGTGGACAAATACAGTCATAAACAGGCTAATTTTAAACCTACAGGTCAATGAATTTTCATATATGTATGCACCCATAATGCATTTTCCCAACAGATGAAAATTTAATAATAATGATGATAATAATAGCTAATGCACCAGGCACTACTTTCAGTGCTTTTCACAAAGCAGTTCTTTAAAAGGAACATTCTCTCCACCTCAAAGATAATAGAGCTGGACATTAAAGTGGTGGAAACATTGTATTCAATAATTACTGGCAGTAAGGGAAAGAGAGGGTTTCATTCTAACTTGTGCAGAGGTGACAAAGGATAATGTGTGTGTGTAGGGAAGGAATGGGTTCCAGTGAAACATTACAAAGGGGCACCGTAGTCACAGTGATTCAGCCATCTGTGTTTGTCTGCTTGCAATTATGGAAGTTAGAGACTTATTTTTTTGGGGGGTGGGGAGTGCTGGGGATTGAACTCAGGGTACTCAACCACTGAGTCACATCCCCAGCCCTATTTTGTATTTTATTTAGAGAGAGGGTGTCACTGAGTTGCTTAGCGCCTTGCTCTTTGCTGAGGCTGGCTTTGAACTTGTGATCCTCCCGCCTCAGTCTCCCAAGCCTCTGGGATTACAGGTATGTGCCACCATGCCTGGCCAAGTGATATAAGGAATACCTTTCAGGTCCTTGAGAAAGACACTCTTTGAGTTGTAGAGACACATATGCATCTCAAAGAGACAGAAGGATTCTTATTTGTAAGGCATTTTTGGTAAATGCTCTGAGGTCAAGGGCCTATCATTTTTTGATTTGGTTCATTTTCTGTTGCTATGACTGCATATCACAGACTGGGTAATTTATGAAGACTAGAAGATTCTTTAGCTCATAGGTCTGGAAGCTGGATGTCCCAGGGCATGGTGCCAACATCTGTGAGCCTGTGGTAAAGGCCTCCTGCTGGGTCATGCCTTGGTGGATGGGGAGACCTAGCAAGCATGTCCTGCAAGAGAGCTCCTGCTCACACAGCAGACGCGCCTGTGGCAGCCTGTTAATCCACAGGTGAATTTATCCGATCATGAGGAAGGACTCTGTCCCTGCTTCTCAACACTACTGCATTGGGGACCAGGTTCTCAACACGTGAAATTTGGGGGACACATTCAAACCATAGCATCTGGTCTTGGCTAAAACAGTTCTGGCATCATTAGTCTTTGTCAGGCAGGCGTTTTCCTGGGGGACAGGGATCATCTTGAGGGACATATACTAAGCTTGGTTATCTCTTAGTGCAGGGATGTGGAAGGAGTCAATGTGTCAGAGCTCTGTAGTTCTCAGGATACACTTTTATTTATTTATTGATGGGCTCCTGTGGTTTCTATTGCTTTTTGGAAAATGGTGCTGTAGTTAGCCCTCTGGGCTCACTGCTGAAATCCCTAGAAGCAGGACTGCAGGCTCACAAGTATGTTATCTTTTCCTTCCTTCCTTCCTTTCCCCTTCATTCCTTCCTTTCTTCCTCCCTTCCCTTCCCTTCCCCTTCCTTCCTTCCTTCCTTCCTTCCTCCCTCCCTCCCTCCCTTTTTCTTTTCTTTCTTTTTAAATACAGGGAATTGAACCCAGGATGCTTAACCACCAAGCCACATCCCTAGCCATTTTTTATATTATTTAGAGATAGGTTCTCGCTGAGTTTCTTAGGGCTTCACTAAATTGCTGAGGCTGGCTTTGAATTCACAATCCTCCTGCCTCAGTCTCCTGAGCTGCTGGGATGACAGGTGTGTACCACCACGCCTAGCGTGTATGACGTCTTAAGTAGGTTCAACACCCGATATTTTAAACATTACCTAGTTGCCCTTCCTAAGGGTGGCATGAATCATCTCCTCCCATGCTCCACACTGCCACTGGAATTTCTTTCCCTCTGAGGCCTCTGTTTTCTCATGTGAAATGGGGATAGGTCAGTTACACTCATCACAGCAGGTGTCGCCCGGAGCCTCCTCCGCCTGCTGTGAACAAATCTCTCCAATTCTTCAGCACCCACATGGAAGGAATTGCCACTTCCATTTCAGGGAGATGAGGACAGAGCTGGCCTTCTAGAGCCCACCTTGGAGGTCAGACTGGAGTGCTGCAGGGATGCCATGTTCCCAGCACTGGGGACTTCTGCTTTTACAGCTTTAGTGAGCAGCATGGTAATGATCTGTTTGAGGTCTCTTCACAGTTCAGAGGAATGCTCTCCTGGGGCCGGTTGGAGGAAAGGGGGCTTTCCCTTCCATTAGGGAGTGAAGTGCTAGCTACCTCCTGGATTCTGGGCTATCGCCCAGTGCCACTCTGAAAGGGCAGGTGCAAGTGGAACGGGCCCCTAACCAGGCTTAAGGAAAACCTCTCCTGGGGAAGGGCATGCCGGTGGGGAGAAATTCCAGTCCTCGCCCCTGCCCCACATGGCCGGAGAGAAGTTCATCATTGGTTTCACTTTAAATTTCGTGACCATGGCCTCCTTTGTACATTTATAATTGCTGAGAAACCCCACATGGGTATGCTTGCCTGAAGGATCTCCTCCTTGCCCCTTTATAAATTCTCCCTCCTCTTACAATGGATCTCCTGCCCAGGCTGACCCCTCCTCCCCTCTCCTCCCGCACTTGCCAACGCCATGTGTTTTGTTTGCTAAACGCCACAGTGTCTACTAAGATGCCCAGACAGTCCGTGTGCACGTTGTCACCCTCCAGTGTGCATCCAAACTCTGCCATGGCATGGAGATTTCTTTCCCAGGTCAGTAGTGACCTTGTCGTGTAACCCAGCAGTCCTGACTCTGCCTGGTTGCACTTGGCCTCTGGGCCCCCCTCGCTGCCTCCTCACTCCCTGGGCTTTGAAACATATGTTCTAGCTTCAGTGACACAAGTCCCCTGATTTTCCTCCTACCTCTTGACCATATACCCCCGCACCCAAATTCCCCTTGGGGACATTTTGTCGTATTTCCTTCCCCACTTTTTCTCACATAGGTGTATTTATACTGCCTTCTTTAATACCCAAGACCCCTGAACTCACTGACCGTAGTCCAGAATCCAGGGACCTCCTCCCATCAGGAAATCAACACTGTTAACAGCTGGAGTCAGCCTCACCCACTTTTTCTTTGTCGATGGACACAATAACTTTATTTATTTTTATGTGATGCTGATGATCGAACCCAGTGCTTCGTACATGCGAGGTGAGCGCTCTACCACTGAGCCCCAGCCCCAGCCCAACCTCACCCACTTTTGCTGGTCTCTTCCTTTCTGGTCCAGTTCTCTCCAAGAATGGCATTGCAGTGAGTTGTCATGTCACAGCCACCTCCTTTGGTCTGGAACAGTTCCTCAACCTCTTCCTATCTATCTCCAGTATTCTTCAGCAGTCTATCTTGGTCTGTTTGTGCTGCTGTAACAAAATGCCACAGACTGGGTAATTTATAAAGAACAGATTTGATTTTTCAAAGTCTGGGGGCTGAGAAGTCCAGAATCAGGGTGCTAGAGGTTTTGTTGTCTGGTGAGGCCCAGTCTCTGTTTCCAAGATGGCCCCTTGAATGCTGCGTCTTCTGGAGGGGAGGAATTCTTGCATGGCAGGAGGAAAAAGGTTTGAACTCCCTTTGTTGATCCATTTTTTTTTAAGTTGTAGATGGACATGATACCTTTAGTTTATGTATTTATGTTTTTATGTGGTACTGAAGATGGCTCACGTGTGCTAGGCAAGTGCTCTACCACTGAGCCCCAGCCCCAGCCTCTGTTGATGCATTTTCTTATTCACCTGCTCGTGAGGGTGAATCCCTCTGGACTCAGTATATCAGCTTTTGAGGGTGAATCCCCCAGGACTCAGTACCTCTCAGGGCCATACCTCCCAATACTGTTGCACTGTGGACTCAGTCAACATGAGTTTTGGAGGGGATACAAACACTCCAATGAGACCACAGTCTTACAGAATACAAGTCATCTTCTGTGGGATGACAGTCAACCTGGGTCCTGGCCATGTGTCCTCAGGACCAGATTCAGGCAACCTTCTTGGCAAGACAATGACAGAGCTGAGGTGTTCCTCTTGGTTATCACACCTGGAGCTTCAGAGCGTCCTGCTTTAACTGAACCACCTGGTCAACGTGTACTGCCAGTGTCCACCATGAAGTCACCATTTCCTACTTTATATTTGGTTAGCATTTTTTGGAGAGATGTTCCACCATTACACCAATATTGGGTTTCTCATCAAATGTCCACTTGCCAGTCCTTTTAATCAGCTTTTTTTTTTTTTTTTGCTGCTGTAACTAAAAGACCTGGCCAGAACAATTGTTGAGGAGGATGTGTCCATCTACAACTTAAAAAATAAAAAAAGTGGGTGAGGCTGACTCCAGCTGTTATTGGGGGGCTCCTGGTTTCAGAGGTCTCAGTTCATGGTCAGCTGGCTCCATTCCTTGGGACTCAAGGTGAGGCAGGACATCATGGCGGGGGAGTGTGGTGGAGGGAAGCAGCTCACATGGTGATCAGGAAGCAGAGACTCTACTTGCCAGATACAAATATACACCCCAAAGCCATGCCCCAGTCCCACTTCCTCCAGCCACACCCTCCCTGCCTGGAGCTTCCACTCAGTAACCCCATCACTTCTCCTCTAAACCTTCTTGCAGTCTCACACATGAGCTTTTGGGGGACACCTCACATCCAAACCGTAGCACCAGTCTTGGCATCCACTGAGAACCCCTACCTCCGTCAACTGCCTCCCTTACAGGTGCCGTGCCAGATCCTGTCTGTCTCCGCTATCCTTCCATATTGACTAACTGGCCTTCTGCTGTAAAGAAGGGCTTTCCCTTCTCCTCTGTATCGTTTATTTTTTCCATTTATTTATTACTATGGATGCATGAATACTATTTTATTCAGTGGATTGTCACCTGATAATTATTTATATTGATGCTCAAGTTGTCCTAGATTTGAACAGTGAAATGCCCTTCCAGTTGGCTCTTGTGTTCTTTTAACGTGTCTGCATCGTTCTTTGAGCACTTCCTTACTTTAGGGTACACAAAGATGTTCCAGACTGTTGATAGACTTGGCCATTTCTCCAAGGAACTGTTTCCTTTTGGTGGAGTAGAGAATTATACAGATTTTAGAGAACAAGGTGCTGGCACTTGGCATGCTCACTGTTGCACATCATTATTTCTAGATCCTCTCAGCAAATGGGTAGGAAACAGGCCCACAATTATTTTGTAATGTATGTCTGTACATATGTCTGAACGTGCATGTATACATCCTGAAATCATATAATTTTTTTTTTTTTGTATTAGAGATTGAACCCAGGGGTGCCTACCACTGAGCTACATCTCAGGCCCTTTTTATTTTTTGTTTTGAGATAAGGTCTTGCTAAGCTGCTGAGGTGACCTGGAACTTGCCATCCTCCTGCCTCAGCCACCAGAGTAAGTGGGATTAGAGGTGTAGGTGCCACTGTGGTCAGCTCACATTGATACTTTTTTTAGTTTTTGATGGACCTTTGTTTTATTTATGTATATGCAGTGCTGAGAATCAAACCCAGTGCCTCACATGTGTTAGGCAAGTACTCTGCCACTGGGCCATGACTCCAGCCCTCACACTGACACTTCGGATTCAGCCTCCCTTAGGACCCTTTCTAGCTTCCTTCTTTTTTTTCAATTGTTATTTTATTTTGTTTGTTTGTTTATTTGGTACTGGTGATTGAATCCAGAGATTTACTGCTGAGACACATCCCCAGACCCTTTTATTTTGAGAAAGGTTCTTCTAAGTTGCTTAGGGCCTCACTAAATTGCTGAGACTGGCCTTGAATTTGTAATCCTCCTGCCTCAGCCTCCTGAGTTGCTGGGATTACAGGAGGGTGCCACTACGTCTGGCTAGCTTTCTTCTTTCCATGTTTGAAAATCCTTTCAAATAGTGAGAAATCTGACATTCATATTCCTGAATATATCTATTTCTTTGCTTAAGTAGAGATTTATTACAAGAATTGGCTCACATGGTAATGAAGGCCGAAAAGTTCCACGATCTGCCATCTGCAAGCTGGGGACCCAGGAAAGCCGAAGGTGCAATTTAGTCTGAGTCCAAAGGCCGGGGGACCAAGAGAGCCTACAGTGTACCTTCTAGCCCAAGGGATGGGACTTGGGCCACCTGCACAACGCTTGGAGTCTGAAGGCTAAGGAACCAGGAGTTCTGATGTCTGAGGGCAGAGGATGGATGTCCCAGCACAGAAACAGTAAACTTGCCAGTCACATTTTTGTTCTCTCCAAGCCCTTCACAGATTGGATGACACCCACCCACAATGCCAAAGGCAGATCTTCTTTACTTATTCAAATGTTAATCTTTTTTGGAAACATCTTCACATTCACATCCAGAAACAGATTCTATTGGCTATCTGGGAACCCCTTAGGATAGTCAAATTGACACATAGAATTAGCAACCACAGCTGGGTGTGGTGGCATATACCAGTAATCCTCAGTAATACCTGAGGCAGGTGGATCGTAAGTTCAAAGCCAGCCTGGGCAATTCAGCACTGCTGACCTTGTCTCAAAATAACAAATAAAAGGACTGGGGTATGGTTCAGTGGTACAGTACCCGCTGGGTTCAATCCTCACTATTAAGGGAGGAAAAATCAGCCATCACAGTCATTTCCTTGGTTGCTCATATAACCTCAATCCTTCTGTTACCACTGCTTGTCGCATTCACATTCCCACCTCCCACTGTCTTCTTGATGAACCAAGCTCTTCAGCAATATTTAACGGCCTTATTGCTGTGATATTTCTTTTGATTAGCTACTACCATGTGGCATGCATTTTCTATTCTTTTATGTTTAGATGAGGTTTCTTGTAGGTAGCATACAGTTGGGTCATGCTTTGTTATCAAATATGACTATACCTAATAACAGGAGTGTGTGAGAGCTAAGCATGATCTTAATACTTGGATCCTGTGAATATGCTGTTACTTGGCAAATGGAAATGAAGTGTAGATGGAATTAAAGTTGCTGAGCAACTGACTTTAAAATATGGAGATTGGGCTGGGGTTGTGGCTCAGAGGTAGAGCGCTTGCCTAGCATGCGTGAGACACAGGGTTCAATCCTCAATACCACATAAAAATAAAAATAAAGATGTTGTGTCCACCTATAACTAAAAAACAAATATTTTTTAAAAATAGAGAGATGATTGTGTGCCATCCCAATGGCCCAATGTCATCACAATGGACGAGGGAGGCAGGTCAGGAGAATCAGGGAGAGATGTTTTCTTCTTATTTCTTGTGCTTGGGCTTCATTGGCCTTCTTGGATCTGAGTTTATAACTTTCATTAAGTTTCAAAATTTTCTGTATTTCTCAGTGTATTTTCTGCCTTCCCACTCTGGTATACCGGGCCACCAAAAATTGCCCTACAGCTTACTGATGTGATGCTCTTTACATTTTTTTGGCCTGTTTTTCATTGTGGGGAGTCTCTTGCTAGCTCTTCAATTTCAATATGTTCCCTATCCCTTTGTTCCTGTAATGTTTTTTCTTCATACGTTTGAGCATATTTTATAAGTATATATTTTGGATACTGACTTTAAAATAGATTTATATACTTTTAATACACACACACACACACACATCCCCTTGGTTATGGGACTTGTATTCTGGCTTTTGCGTGTCTAATACTTTTTTTGAATTTTCATGAGTTCCATGTCGTGGCCTTCATTTAATGGTGTTTGGCTTTGTTCTGGAAGGCAGTTAAGTTCCTGCAGGTCAGTTTGGCCCCTTTGCATCTTTGGTGTGGGTCCACAAGTGTCCTTCCTGGGGACAGTTTAGCTGCTGCTGAAACTCGACTTCGTGGGTTGCTACTGCTGCCCCCGTCCGTACCCACCAAATCCCCCCTGCTCTAGCTGGTGGCAACACCCGGGAACTCTGGAAGTCATGTGGTGAGCAGCTCTCTGGTGATTGCTTTGTCCCTAAATTGCTTTTGATCTGTTCCCAGGGTCCTCTACCCTACGCGTTCCTGTATGAATTTCTGGAACCCTGTGTATCTTCTGCAGTGAGGCATTTGACCTCGCGCACTCTGCCACCTCAGCCTTCCTGGGCTCCCTGTCTCATCAGCTCACTAAACCCATCTGCCTCTGCTCGGGTTCTCCCTTCCTTGTGCTGGGGTCTCAAAATTGATTCTGGACACAAAGCCCTCTAGGACTTGCCTCATTTGTTTTCCTTCTCTGCCACTTGTGAATGTGGTGTCAGGATGGAACCCAGGGCCTCACACAGGCTAGGCAAGTGCCCTACCACTGAGCCACGTCTCCAGCTCTCTGCCATATTTTGACACAGCCACAGATCACTTGCCAGGATGCTGGTGCCATGCTCTGTGGACCTTGGAAAATGGAAATGAAGGTGTAGATGGAATTAAAGTCGCTGAGCAACCTTTTGGTCACCAGAATTGTGAGCCAAACATCTTTTCTTTCTAAAGTACTCAGACTCAGCTGTTTTGTAACAGTAATACGAAGTGGACTGAGAAAAAAGTTTGGATAGATTTACCTGTGAAACCTTCTGGGATATGTAATTGTCATATGACTATTTCTTTTTCTTTTCTTTCTTTCTTTTTTTTAAAAGACAAATGTGTTTTTTTTTATACTTTTATTTTGCTTATTTATTTTTATGTGGTGCCTTTAAGGATCGAACACAATGCCTCACACGTGGGAGGCAAACACTCTACCACTGAGCCACAACCCCAGCCCCTCTTTTTAAAAAAAAATATTTTTATTTTTTAGTTGTAGTTGGACACAATATCTTTAGTTAGTTAATTTATTTTTATGTGGTGCTGAGGATTGAACCCAGGGCCTCACCCATGCTAGGAACTCTACTGCTGAGCCACAACCCCAGCCCATGACTATTTCTTTTTAATTTTGTTATGTTTGTGTACATATATACATATTCATGTACATAAGTATATGTAATCTTTATTTTTTCTTAATCCTTATCGTGTAACATAGATATACTGACTTTATATCATAGCATTTATATTGTTAACTTTGCATCATAGCATTTTAGTTATGGGATGTCAAGAAGAATAAAAACCATCCAAGGACTTTGCATCCTCTTCAGGGGAAAGGGCTAGTGCATTGCAGGATGATTGTAACTCGTAAATCAGTTGATATTAAGAAAAGCAGATTACACTCCACGTGGGTGGGTCATATCCAATCAGATAAATGTCTAAATAGATTAAGCCTGACCTCCCCTTGGCAAGAGGGACTTCTGCAGCAAACACCTTCAGACTTGAACTGCAGTGCTGGCTCTTCCTTGGGCCCCTGGCCTTCTGGTCCATCCTGTAGGTTTTGACTTGCCAGCTTCCCTAATGCATGAGCCAATTCCTTAAAAGAAATCTCCCTCCAGGCGAGGTGATGCACACCTGTAATCCCAGCAACTCAGGAGACTGAGGCAGGAGGATTGGAGGATTGGAAATTCAAAGCCAGCTTTAGGACCTTAGTGAGGTCTTGAGTGACTTAATGAGACCCTGAAAAGGGCCGGGGATGTGGCTGAGTGGTAAAGCACCCCTGGGCTCAACCCCTGGTACAAAACAAAACCAAACAAACAAAAAACTCCTTCCTCCTCCTCCCCTTTTCATCTTAGAGTCTTTTTTTTTTGTGGCTTAAAAATGTTCAGGTGAAAGAACCTTACCTTTTTTTTTCCCTCTTAACTTTCAGTTTTACTGCAGTCAGAGTGCTGCTGTATTGTTCTGGAATTTTGGATTTTTGTGGCCTGGTATATGACCAGTTTTCATAAATGCTGCAGGTGGATTTGGCGAGCAGTGTTATCTGTTTTGAGTTTCGTCTGTAGCTGTAGGATGTGCCTGGCCACTTAGGTTCTGGTCCATGTCACCTGTTCGTTCTATGTCTGGACGTGGGGAGGGGTCAGTTTTCTGTGGTGGTGAGAACTGAAGACAGACGTTCACGGCTCTACCTTCTGTCAACCTAAGTAACAAACAGAGAGATCATCCGAAGATAATGGAGGCCAGAGCTTTTCATAGGTGGCGATGACCGCCCTGCTGGCTTTGGAACTGGCCATCCTGTGCCCACTCATTTATTAGCTCCCCCCCCCCCCCCAGGGCTGAGGACTGAGCCCAGGGCCTTGCATGTGCTAGGCAAGCCTTCTGCCACTGAGCTAAGTCCCCAAGCGCCCACCATTTAGATTCTATTTATTCACCTGCCTTTGTTCCTGGATGTTTAGAAATAAGCAGGAAGAAACAAAAATCACAGAGCTGAGAGGCCACATCCCCAGGCCCTGCTGCTCCTCTCCTACCCAGCAAGCTCTTCAGCTGTCACTGTAAGGGTCTCTGGGGTCCTCTCCTTTCCAGGTAAACTGGAGGGCTGGCCTCACACTCGAGCTTAGAAGTTCTCCTGCTGGCTGCCCCTGGCTGGCGGTGGGAAGAGCTCCGGGTTGTGGAGGTTGGCGTGAGGACCCTGGCCTCCCTGTACTGCTCCTGTCTATCATCTGCTTGGCCAGGTTCATGGACCTGTGCTCCAGCTCCTTTTCTGGCTAGGAGGGCTCCTTGGTAATGGATCAGCTTTCCCGAGTCCCCATCTCCCCAGGTAGCCACTGTGCCCTGGGGACATCCTGCCTGGTTAGAGTGTGTTGTCTACATGGGGCCTTGGGCCATGTGGGATGCTCCTGCTAACACTGTGGTTTATGGTGGGGGTCTTGGGCCGCAGGGCAGAGGCTCAACATCTGGAGGGGCTGGACACTGAGGCTAGCATGGAAACACGATTAATCCCAGTACAACCATGTGCACTGAGGTGCAGGCGAGCATCCCAGGCTGGCAGTATGCCAAGTGTGTGGTCTTGGCACATTGCTGGCAGAGGACAACTAGCAGCCCTGAGCTCCAAGTCCCCTGCCCTGTGCCTCTCTTCCTGTTGACCTGAATGTGTCCTTTCCGTGTCACAAGTGTTAACAGTGAGTAGATAGCTTTACTAACCTTGGTGAGCCCTGCTGGGAGTTCTTGAGCCTGAGGGAGGGTGGGACTTCCTGAACTTTGCAACAGCAACACCGCAGTCTGTAACGCCTGGGCGCAGAGCGGGCTCCTGGTGCGGGTGGCATCTCTGCCAGGCATGTGGGTCTCACACCAACCTGCTCTTGAGAAGCTTCGGGAGCGTAACAGATATTTCATTCTACATGGAGGGTTTCATAACATGTCTTTTTGAAACCCAAGATAAACCATTCTGAAAGAAGAAAACTCTGGATTTCATAGCAAAGAAATTCACCATGGAATCATATGAACTTCGGGGGAAAAAAAAAAGTGGTCTGGATTCATTCAGTAGTTTACACAAGAGTCCTTACTTTCAGCTTAAGACCAGTCACTTGATGCAATCACAGGGCAGTGGGATTGGGTGGGCTCTGTGGGGCTCAAGGTTTTGGTTTGCAGGAGTTGCCAAAGGAGGAGCAGTTGGAGACCCTGCTCTGGCTCTAACCTTCAGGCAGCGTGCCCACTCTGAGGGGCTCACCTGGTTGGGGACCCACTTTCAACAGACTTCTCAGCACTAATGGAAGCCTGTGATGAAGGGCACCAAGGTCTGTTGTTTGCCTCAAGCTGGAGTGGAAGCTGTGGCTCATAACACCCCACAGGGTGGAACTCGGGGCTCCTGGAGAGAATCCTGCAGGAAAGGATTGAGCAGGAGGCTCAGCAGAGACACCAACAGGGGTGCAGACACTGGCTGCACGGTGCCTTCCAACCTGCAAATCCTCGGAGGCAGACCCCTCTGAGGTGTGCTCTGAAGACAGATGACTGATGTGTCACCATGGAGAGCTGAGGGGGCTACTCAGCGGCTGCAGAAGGCGCACTGAGGGGCCACTTGCTTTCCTGCAGCTCCTTGCTTTTCCTCCGTTGCCATTTTCCAATCACATGGTGCTGAATGTCCACCACAGTATCTGGCTGTTACTGGCTGCTTTTACTACAGGAAAAAAACTCTTGGGTGGACTAGCAACCAACTTGTTGCACATCTTCCTTTAAATTGGGCCTGGGGCTGGGGCTCAGTGTAGAGCAGCTGCCTAAAATGTGAGGCACTGGGTCCAATTCTCAGCATTGCATATAAATAAATAAATAAAGGTCATCAATAACTAAAAATATGTATTTTAAAAAAATACACAAACCATAATACTCAGCTCAGCATGGCCTATATTTAGTGCTATAGTTGTAAAATTGCCATAGAAGTAAACAAAGCAGGCTAACTTGACCCTGAGCTGGATACAATCAGGAAACCTAGGGACAGAGAAAGATGATTCCTTCCTCGTTTTTGACCTGCCCCATCCCATCAAGGTATAGAATGGCTTCTTCTCTTGTGAGGAAAAAAAAAAAAAAAAGGCTTAAATTATGGTTCGTGGATTTCATACTTTTTGGTAATAGAACCCATTTTTCCCATCAAATCTTGTGAGAAACCATTTAAGAGCTACATTTCTAGTTAACTCAATAGATTGATGTTCATAACAAAGTTATGAGAATAGAGGTCCATGTATTGGTCTCTAAAGTGCTGAAATTTTGTATATTTTCAGAGTGTTATGGTTTGGATGTGAGGCATCCCCCAAAAGCTCACATGTGAGATAGTACAAGAAGGTTCAGAGGAGAAGTGATTGGGTTGAGTCTTAACCCAATCAGTGAATTAATCCCCTCATAGGGATTAACTGACTAGTAGCTGAGGTGGTGGGGTGTGGCTGGAGGAGGTGGGAATTGGGGGCATGGCTCTGGCTATGTATTTGTATCTGGCAAGTGGAGTCTGTGTTTTCCGATCACCATGTGAGCTGCTTCCCTCTGTCACACTCTTCCTCCATGATGGAGCTGACTGTATATGGACTAAGACCTCTGAAGCCGTGATCCCTTAAATAAACTTTTCCTCCTCTACAATTGTTCTGGTTGAGTCTTTAAGTCATAGCAGTGAAAACGCTCATTAAAACACAGAGTTTTTTAGAAGTTAAAATGCTATAAAATTAAAATTTACATGACAACAGTGGCTTCTTTAGACGGGAGTGCACCACTAGGCTGGACTTCCGCATTCTTCTGGTTCTAGAAGTAGTGCACTGTCCACATGCTCCCGAGTCCATGCTGTCCCTCGACAGTTTCAGGCAGATTTCCCAGTGGGCGCAGTGTAGGGTTTGGATGGGCAACACGGCTGTGAACAGAGCTGATGGGGGGCCCTCCACCTGTTCACCTTAGGGGTTTCCCACAGCGTGACCCAGTGGAGACCAGACATGGAGCCTTTGCCTAGAGTTCTCATCACACTGCCCACTTGGGTGCATCTACAGTCTGGCATGATGGTGACAGAGATGGGGGCCTCACTTGTGTCACTGCCACCTGTGTGGTCTATGTAGAGGGTGTTTCTACCCACTAACAGGGTGGCCAGGGGCTTGCGCCCCAGGGCCACACTGCCTGGGTCAAAACCTAGTTCTACCCAGTGCTGTGTGACCTTGGGCAAGTGACTTAACCTTTATGTGCTTGTCTCATTTGTGAATGATGGTATGTGTGGCAAATACTCAGGAGAGTTCTGAAAATTAAGTAAACCAGTCAGGGACATGAGGTGCCTGTGATGGGTCCTGATACAAGCTGAAGAGAAGGCAGCCTTCCCTGTGTTCCCTGCTGACTGGGTGATGCCAATTCCCATGAAGGGGACCGAGCACCAGGGCAGACCTGCATCAGGGCTGCTTGCTGCAAAGCACTCGAGCATGCTCCTGTCCAGTCGGCCCTCACAGGGATCCTGCCATGTGTGCTACTTGACAGGACAGCTTCTCCCACATGAAGAAGAAGAGACACAGAGGGTGACCCTCTGGTCTCAGTCGCAGCCCCAGATCTACTCGGTCTTCTGACCTGCTCCTGGTGGGCGGGGGTACCGGTGGTTTCCAAAATACCCAACTCACTGCTACTTGGGCCCAAGAACTTGGGGCAGCCCAAGGCCTCTCTGCCTGGGGCTTGGCCGCAGTGAACACCTGGTCCTGGGAGAAGCCACTGAATAGGGAAGACCAGACGGTAGGTGAGGAACTCCAGGGCAAGGGTCACCCACCCCAGGCACATGGACTGGGCTCAAGCCAGTAGAAGGGAGTTTCCTGAATGCCTAGAGGAAATGCCACCTCACCCTGGCACTGTTCCTGCGGGCTTCAGAAACCATGTCAGTGAGGATGGCGATCTGTCTGCAGAGGACGAGGCCGGTTAACCAGGCTCCAAACTTGTCTTCACCAGTTCTGCTCTAGTTCTCCATCTAATTGCTTAATTTCTTCACAAATTTCTGAAAACCCAGAACTGGAAAGAATTCAATTTCTATAGGTTGCATTCTGATTTACATTTGCCTCCTCAATAAACGAGATGTCTATGCAGTCACTTCTGCCTTTCCCTTAAAGAGGTGCGTCATCAGTGTGGGGATCAGCTCTGGAAAGCGTGCATGGGAGCTGGCGTTGGGGGACCCTGTGGGGCTGCGCCAGGGACAGCTTCCCAGCCTCAGGCCAGCGTCCCTGCAGTGCCGTCCCTGCACCTGACAGCAGCCTGACAGCCTCAGAACCAGGCTGCCCAAGGCCACGGCCAGATTTAGTTTCATGATGAGCAATAAAATTCACATGTTCTTTATTTAGTCCATATAATACACCGTTTTTAGAGATTTTTAAAATTAGGTAAAAGAGCATATTAAATGGCAAGTGTATGAAGTTTATCTTCATAAACAATGTCAAAACAAAAAAGTTTTGAATTACAAAATGTTAAAAAATATGTAGGTACTTAACATTTCACTAAAGCATAAAGTTACAGATATTTTCTAAAGAAAAATAATTGTGCCACTTACCTACTTTTGCTGTTTCTATGAACTTTTTTATTCTGTACATAGGACATTTTGTACAAAATATGAAGTCTACATTTTTATTACTTATTACCATAAAACAAAGATACAATGTATGTACAATATTAAAAGGAAGCCATACTACAGCCACACGGAACAGACACTCGGACCAGGACACTTCTGGTGCACAGGTGCGTTGTGGAGAGTGAAGATGCCACACGGAGCTTTATGAAGAAAAACAGTCACCAGTTTATTTTCAACGCAGTACTTCTGAAATCAGTTTGGTACAGAATAAACAGTGTCTCTATATAATTTATAATATATAAGTTGAACAATTAGCACAGGGAATCCGAGTACTAACTAGGGAAACTTCCATAGGCCAAAATATTAAGTAATACTCTTGTCAAATAAAATTAGTTTTTCTCAACCCACCCCCCACTTATTGGTGAATGTTTGTCTTCAATAAAGAGCCAAAATAAAACCTAGACCAAAAGATGTTCTTACACATTGAGCTTTACACAATCAGCCAGACAATGATATTTTGCTTTTTCCCTAGGGCAGAAGGAGAGTCTTCCCAGAAACCTTTCTCTCAAACATACCAAACATCCAAGATAAGGGATGTGTGAACCTATCAGCTAAAGACAGAAGTTCAAACAATGGTATATCAAAATATGTAGGACATTGCTTTATACAATAAAAGCACCCTTTTTCCCTCAAAAGGAGAAGGCATCTAAACTTTTTTTTTTTTTTAAATTATAGATTTCATAATGGTAAAATGGATAGATATTTGTCAAGTTTTTCAGGAAGTGTTCTCGCCAAGTGGACTGACCTGTCCACTTTCGGCTGGGGCCATCTTTTCCTTTCATGCTGTGCTTGCTCTCAACATGAGGAATCCCCTCCCCCAGATGATTTTCCCTCAAGACACCAGGACATCAGCGTTGTCAGTGGGCGTAAAGGAACCCGGGCAGCAGGCACTGCAGCCACACAGGACCCATGTCTAATTTCCACAGTCTTTCCATGGATACCAGAGACCACGATTAAAAAAACAGATCCTAAAAGAAGCCACACTTTATCTCTTATCTTATGCATCAAGACAGTTAACGTTAAGTTATATATGCCAGAGACAAAAACAAAACAAACAAACAAAAAAAACTAGAGCCACTGTTTAGAAGAGCAGCACACATCTCAAGTAGCTTTCAAGCAGGATAAACAAGTCAAAATACTGGCCACCCTGAGAGAAATAAAGAAGAGACAAAGCACTAAGTCAAAGGTTCTCCTTCTCGTGCTGTTCCATCTAGACAAAAGTGTACTCCATGCAAGAAGTCTGGGGAACACACAGCAGCATTGAAGACCGATGGAAACTCAGACACTGTCCTTTCCTTACGGGATGGTGATGTGTGCTCTTCCCCAGAGGAGGCTCACCCAGCGCCACCGTGACTGGTGCTTCCTCTGGGCTCTGAGGACCATGTCACAGCAGTGGGCTGGCCACACTGACCACTGTGTTACTTAACGCCAAAGGCGCTGCCGTCTGCACTGGGCCAAGAGCGGGCTTAACTCAAATGGGTCTCATCCTAACTCTCTATAGAATGTGGGACTCCTAGACAATATGATTCTATTAATTTGAGAGCTTTGTTGAAGGGCAACAATGTGTAAATAGGTGAAAAACTGATTCTGCAAATAAAAATACGAACACATAATTTTAAAGTTTCAATTCCAGTTAAGGTAGACACCAGAAAGCTCTTTCGAAATAAACTTCTTGTATGAGCTCACCCCTGGAATCCTGGTGCTGTCCCACAGGCTTGGGAATATGGCTTTCAGTAGACATACGAGGAGGACAGGGTGTACATGCCGCTGACCAAAGAAAAGGAACGCCCAGAGGTGCCCGCGGCGGAGGATTGTCGTGTCACTCTCCCAGTAGGCTGTTAGGACGTGAAAGCAAGAGCCATTTCTGTGAGAATAAGCAAACAAAAACTGCTGGCCTAACCGTCAGGTGGAAACAATTGCAGAGGTCAAAGTCTCAAAAAACAGGTGATACCTTTAAAAGTATTCCTTTAATTTGAAAACATCATCACAGGAGCGCCTATTTTAAAGGCTCCCTGATTCTGTGTGGGCAGAACATGAAGATGATGACCAGGGTGCTTTCCTACAGCTTGGACTGTCAGTCTGACCTAGGCTATGCAGGGGTGGGGATGACGCTGTGAGGACACCGTAATCAGCCCGGCTGGCCAGCAGGTCTGAGAAGCCACCATTGTTTGAACTCCTAATCTTGAGCTGAGGCAGGCGAGCGCCTTTGCCTACAGAACGGGTGGAGGAAGCTTTGCCTTGAGTAACTGATTGGTATGGCACAGACAGTGTGGATTTTCTACAGAACCCAGAAGTGCACTGGCGTGGCGGCTGCTGGCCTGGCTAGCGCCCGTCCTGGGAGACCAGCTCATCAGCTCTGCAGTGGGCGTCCAAGGCTTTCTTGGTGTGGGGGTCCTGAGGCAGCTCGGACTTGCGGCGCGCAAGAGGACGGTCCTTCTTCAGATCTTTCTGTGCCTGCAATCAAAAATGCAATGGAGTTGGCTATAAACTAAGCCACCCAAGCAGCAGCTCACTTCCAAGTTAGAATTCAAAGAAGAATCATGGGGCCTATGTGTACCTCCCATTGCCAAGGCTCTTGGCTTCGGGGACAGGGCATAGTTCTTCTTGTGGTCATTCCCAAAAAACATCTTGTCTGATGAAAACAATCTGACAAGCAGCATGGGGAAATGGTGCGGGGCTGGCTTTGTAGAATTCACCCACCCTAGTGAATACCTGCCTAGTTCATAAAGTGCTACCAAAGCCACTTCATGACTGTGTCCATTACAGACAGACTCCAGATGAGAAATTCCCTTTGGAGGGAAATTAAATAAAGTAGAGGTCCACTGGCAACTAAAAGTATATGTACACACACACACACACACACACATGAAATCTATCAAATTTAAAAAGATTTAAGAGAATAGGCATTAAATGGGACACGGGGTAAAAAAAAAAAAGCACCTCTAGCATTTAGAAAAACTGTATTTATTTACATAAACGTTCCAGATATTAAGGGTAAAAACCAAAAGACTCTCCTCTGTTATTCCATTCTCTTTCTGAAGTTCAGAAAATGTTGGTTTTACTCTTTTAAAAGTTAAATGAATGCCATTTTTGCAGAAGGGTTTAGAACTGTCTGCAAAGGAAGGGAGCCTGACTTGGAGCATTCATGTATCAAAGCATCTACTTCTGTGAGAATTCAGTTCTAAAGGAGGACCACTGCTGTATAATACCTGGGCCTTGAAACAAAACAAGAAACCATCTACACCAGCCCAATGCAATGCATATGCTGGAAGACTGCCAATTAGATAGCAACTATGTCGGATAGGAATTCCCTAACCAGAATTGCCTCCCTTTCTGTTCAGTGTCTCCATCAAAAAATAGACAGTATCCATGCAAGTTACTTCTGTGGTGCATCTACTAGAAAAAAGCTGTTTAAAGTTAATCTCACAACAAAAAGAATGACAACTTCTCAGAGTTCCCAGATAAACTGACTTCAGCCTGGTGTGTAGAATATGCCTCTTTTTGCTTTTGGAGATTTGAGGGCCTGCACGGTTATAAGGGAAAAGGCCACCATTCTGCAGAGCCAAGTAGCTTCTAACAGAGTTCTCTGCAAAGCTATCTATGAAACAGCAATGACGTCAAGGTCTAGAAGGAACCTGGTGTGATATCATTTTAGAATTACTTCTAAAAATGTTACCTGAACATTAAATTCATCATGGGAAGGCAAGACTTTTGTCTTTTTCCCCTGGGGCTAGTGTGAGATGGTGTTAGGAGAGCCACATCAGGAGATGGTGAAGGTCATGTCCCCCTAGAACTGTGACACCACTCAGTGTACCTGTGAGAACATTCTAGCTTTGTAAAGCAGGTTTGCCTCAACCCATCAGAAACTCAAAGGTGAAATTCTACCCTGAATTTTATGCCCATTATATGTTGATCTGTACATAAAATAAAGCAAAGCAAAAACCAAGAGTTTTATGCACATAAAGTATGTGATTATTGTTGAAAAAGGCACTTCTAAGAGAAGACACATTTTAACAGAGGAAGGCAATCGTAAACTATGTAATTATTGTTAAAAAAGGCAAAGAGAAGACACATTTTAACAGAGGAAGGCAATCGTCAAAACACTTGCAGCTAGAACCAGTGAGGCAAACTGAGAACCCACTTGACCCCAGAGCTTCTGGAAGGACAAAGAGCTGACGAACACACCTGGGCCTTTCTGCACATGTATTTCAGATCCACAAAGGAAGCAGAGGATGACTTTAGAAACCACAAGGGGGAAATGAGAGACGCAGGAGGTGAGAAGAAATGAGATGTGCGACGTGGTGGTCCTGGTGGAGACACGTGCAGGCAAGCATGCTGGCATGGGCAGGAGGATGGGGCAGGTGGGAAAGCTCTGGTGGGGCATCTCCGTGGCCTCTGCTCTGGTGTGCCAGGAGAACTAAATGGTATGTGGTGTGGGTACGAAGGCTGGGTGCACACCATTTTGAAAATTTCCTTCCTTTCAAAGAGGCATGGGTTTAAACTTTACTACTTAATTTAGGGTAGGACTGATCAAAATTTCTTAAGGGACTAAATTTCTTTAGCTTTGTCTTGACCATCACAGGCTGGAATGACATGGAAAAGGGAAAATACTTCATGTACACGATGTTAGTTTGTCAAATCTTTTTGTAGATAAAAGCCTTATTAAGCATACTCTACATATTTAACAGCAAATACCTGTACTGCCTACCTTAGTCTCTACACCTTCCTTACTTGCGTGGTTGACATTGATTTCCTCCCGACCAACTGTCAAAAATGAGAATTGCAAACATTTTAAGCCTCTGTATCATTGTCATTCATGAGAAACTTACTAGTTTTCTTTGCATATTCTGTATAGGTTTGCATGAGTTTCTCAAAGAAAAGTCAGATAATGGCTCTGACAGGCAAATACATCATTGAATTTCTCCATAAAGATCAAACCGAGTGTCTCCCTTAGTGTGATGGTCTTCTGCGTACCTCACTTGCCTCCCTCCCTGTCCTAACCCAGCATTCAAATCAGCTTAAAGAAACGTGGAATTGTTTTGGAAAAATAGCTGAAAATAAACTCAAAGGGGCACTGAAAATATTCAAATTACTCTATTAAAAAACCCAACCATTAATTTTCAGTGTAACTTCTTATGTCAATTTGGTCACCAAACTGTGCACATGCCCTTTCCTGTACCTTTGTAACTCCTCCTTGCTATAACAGTGCTTCAGAGAATTTCAGGAAGATGGTTCCAAACATTTTCAAATTATGACTCTATCATTTCAAATATCATACCTAAGATTCCACACTTCATAAGTACCTTCATCTATAGGATGAGATTCGACTGAATTTAATGGATTCACTGAATCAATTAGCACATAGAAAGCTATGATAAGGCTGGGCGCTGGGTGGTGGTGGTCCTCCATTCTCTTTTTTTTTTTTTCAGTCTGTCTGTCTACTCTGGGTCCTCTGCGTTCCCACAGGGATTTTAGAGTCAGTTTGTCAACTGCTTAAGGAAGGGGAAGGGAGGGAAAAAAGAAAAAAGCCTGCTGGGATTCTAGTTGAGAACACAAGAATGTGGGTAGAACAGACTTATCCCCGGGGCATCTGAGTCTTCTGACCTGGGAATGAGACCCAGGAAAGGCCAGGGAGACTCAGCTATCCCTCTAGTATCGAGGACCACGAAAGCCAGCAAGGACACCAACGTGCCCTGGCCATTTCCCAGAAACTCCTGTCTGGGCCTCCACTGAGACTAGACTGCCTCGGACTGCAGGCCTGGCCCATCGCCTGGGGCCCTCCTGGAACAGCAGGACCCAGCAGCCAGCGGGGCTCCTGCCGACACCAGAGCCCACTCTCAAGAGCACTTTCACTCCAGATGCTATTTTGGTCTGTGTTCTGAACCAGGCTCTTGGTCTACTATAGAGTAGGACATAAACTGTAAATATGTCTTAGCTTCATTACATTCAGGCAAGTTTATGACTGTTTCTAGTTTTGATTCTGGCTTAAGTTGAAGGATGTACCAAGAAGAAAACTTCCTTCAACCCTCAAATATTTATTGTGTGAAGTATTGTTCCCAAATCATCAATTTCCTTTTGATTCTGTATGGCCCAAGTGTTTTAAAAATGACCCGAGGGGCTGGGATTGTAGCTCAGTGGTAGAGCACTTGCCTTGCATGTGTAAGGTACTGGGTTTGACCCTCAGTATATAAAATACATAATAAATACATACAGATATACAATAAAGGCATTTTGTCCATCTGCAACTACAAAAAATCAAACAAAACAAACCAAAAAAAAACCCCACGAGGTTACAAATTCCCATGCAGGTTTCCCCACAGACAGCATTATGATTTCCTTCTGAGGGTCTGCAGGTGAGGGGGCTGGCTGGCCTGCCTTTGGCAAACTCAAAGCTGTAAACTCAAATGGTAATAATAAAACGTTTCCTTGATTTTTTTTCCAAATTAAAAAAAAGACCAAGGAGGGAAATGTACACTCCACAGACAGAATCAAATATATGGGTTTTCACGTTTTTGATGAAAACTACTCACTGGTGAGATTAATCACTGAGGGAAGGACGAAACACACCTGCATCAGACGCAAAACTAGTTCCTGCGTCCAGGGAGTGGTAGCGGAGCTCCTACTGTGTTAACGGTACTTTCAAGCTCTGGTGAGCTGAAAGAAGTACTTGTTCACCTATTTTGGACTTGAAACTAAGTAGAGGGTCTAATTGGGCAAGAAAAAGGCTCTCTCTTTTCAGAGCCCATTAGTGGGAGCCAGGGCTGCAGCTGTCCAGCTGAAGCACAGCTCCAGCCATGCCTGCACCTTCAAGCCCTTTAGTAGCCACAGTACAGAGAAATGGGTCCCATTAATCTCAACATTATATTTCATTTAACCCAACATATCAAAAATGTAATCATTTCAACACATGATCAATAATAAAAACCATGAGTGAAAAGAAAAAATCATGAATGGGATGTCGCACCCCCCCTTTACACACTAAGCCTTGGAGCGCTGCTGTCTTTACACCTAATCCTGGGCCCCTTTCAAGTGCTCGTGTCTCATGGGGCTTCATGCTGCTGTGGGGATAAGCATGGGGTGCTGGGCTGTCTGTAAAACACCCTGTTTTGTGGGAAATGAACCAAAATAGGTAACATTCTGATTTCTTTCCAAGCTTCTGCACATAAGTGTCCGGGGGCCTGCTGCTTGGTTTCTGACAAACTCTAACATCAAAATGGCAACCGATGACTTAATTGAGCCTTGAATGACACGGGCACTGACAAGCCATGTGCACAGTGAACAGTATGCAGCAGGGGTCACTCCAGCCACTCCTTTCACCTGTGAGCTTCTAGTGCTGCTGTCTTCAGGAACTGTCTCACAGGTCAAAGAGCCTGGAGCTGCGGTCCTCAAGTCCATTAGGACATCCTGCCGACACTAGGTCAGGGAGCACAGTGGCACAAGGCTCCTCAGACCCAAGCAGGTGCTCAGTGGGCTGCTCTTGAGGCTGTGTATGTTCCCAACTTAGTGGTAAGAGGCCCTCTTTGGATTAGAGGTGATCACAATGTTTATTCCCACAGTGGAAAAGAAGCCATCGGGCTGTGGGTATTACCAGACGTGTACCTGGCAGAGCCCTGGCCTGGTGTCCTGAGTGGGGGTGGGGTTAGTACCCTGTTATGAAGAACTGAAAGGGAACATCTCTGGGCCAGAGCAGAAGCCAGAGGGGGAAAGGGAAAGCAGTGGCCAGATATTACTGCAAAGATTTTGGTTTTGCTCAAGTTAATATGATTTGATCACTAAGACCTATAGATAAAATGTTTCCTGAAAGATTACCAAAATTTGGGGCTGAGGTTATGGCTCAGCAGTAGAGTGCTTGCCTAGCATGTGTGGGGTGCTGGGTTCGATCCTCAGCACCACATAAAAATAAAAACAAATAAAAATAAAGGTATTTAAAAAAAAGATTACCAAAATTTAACTTATAAGTTTGGCTTAAACAGAAGGCCCTGATGTATATATCATGATACCTACTAAAATCACACACATTTCTTTCTTTTTTTTTTTTTTTTTTTGGTACTGGAGAATGAATTCAGGGGCCACATCCCAGCCCTTTTTATTTTTTTATTTTGAAACAGGATCTCGTTAAGTTGCCCAGGTTGGCCTTGAACTTGTGATCAGGACTCCTGCCTCAGCCTCCTGAGTGGCTGGATCCACCTGGCTATGACTCTCATTTCTTAAGCAAATCTGTAGTGGGCGCTTCCCTGCTGAGCTCAGTGCTCAGGGCACTGTTACCTGACGAGCCTCCTCGGTCACTGTCTTTCTCAGCATCTGCACATCTTCAAACAGAGGCCCATCTGTCTCCATGGCAACTGGCAAGCTCACGGTGCTGGCTGGACTATACACTGCATACTGCAATGCAAAGTGTGGAATCACTCTCTGTTAGGCGCTGGGTTCTGTGCTCCAGGGTCTCAATTGACAGGGGACATGTCTTCCCTGCTGCCCTCCCCCTGGGCCCTGGTGCCTGCTGCACACCACAAAGCTGTTCAACCTCCTGTAGTCCAGGCCATGGGTGGCCTCCTGCTAGACCCAAGGTCACTTCCACACCCATCCTAGGTCTCTTGTGTCTGATGGACAGCCAGCCCACACCCAGCCTACAGTCTCTGACACTGATTCCATAAGGGCCACCACAGAGGGGCAGACAGGCTGTTCCAGCAGACACCTCCCCCACCTCCTATCTGTGCACAGTCTGCTGACCTCAGTCCTCATCCCTGCACGCACCACTGCAGGGGACCTCAAGCCATCTCCCTTCCACTCACTTTGTTGGCTTTTCCTAAGTTTAGCTTAGACCTTCTCCCCCAGTGTCTTTCTTGCTACCAAAACAAACACAGCCTCCTTTGCACTGCCAATCTGCCATGGAGCTGCGGGAGTGCTGGGGGCCCCTCAACTCAGCTGCAGGCCCCGACTCCCTCCCCTACCCTCCTGTGTTCTGGGGGGGGGGGGGGTGGGCAGGGGGAACTGCTGGCAGCTGCCCCTAGCGGTACCCAGCCTGCGGGTCTGGTGTTCCCGGCCAGAGGCTGTGGAAGCATGGCTGATTAGCGTGTGGCATCTATTCTCCCTGTGAGGCAGGGAGAGGGGAGAGGGGAGTCTGTGTCTGCGGCAGGCGGGTCCAGGCTCAGGCTTTCCTGGAGCTGAGGCAATGGGTGACATGAATGCTGGAGGGACTGAGGTGGGAAGGGACACAGTAGCTTGTCCAAGGCTTGACCTTAGGCCACTGTCCATCCGGGCCCCAGCCTCTAGCCTGGAGCTGCTGGTACGAGGGCTACCTCTTGGATGCCCTCCCACATCTGGCTTCACCTTACAGGGGCTCTTTGTGGCACGAAGTACCAACAGTCATCCCCTGGAGCCTTCCCCCCGGTTTCTGTGACACAGTCCTTCCTTCCTGGCTTCTCTCCTCCCTCTGAGGCCCGTCTTAGGTCCCCCTTTCTCTGCCTATTCCTTGGATGACAGTCGCTTACCATTTCTAAGGATCTCACACCCCATGGCCTTCAGTCCTCCCTGTCCATCCATGGTCTAGTCCTCTCAAGTATGGGCCCCTTGGCTGTCCACGTCTCTCCAACAGTCTTTGAAAATCAGCGGCTACCTTGCTAGAGCCACACCCTGGGCTCAGATTCTTTCTTCTACTACCAATGAGTCCCTGGTCCGCTCAGTGCCCCCTGCCCCTCATGTCACCTGCTCTGCCGTGAGCACCCTTTCTACACATTCCAAGTTCCTCTCTGGGCCTGCTTCCTCCTGGCACTCTGTTCCTGCTGTCACCAGAGAAGCTTCCAAAACTACAATTCTGCCTGGGCCACTCAGTCCGTCCTGGCCCTTTCACATCTGTACAATTTTGGGTGCCAATGCAAGTGGGTCCCTTACTTGCCCTGTGATTGCTCCTGGTGCCCTGGGCCCGCAGCTGTGGCCTGTCCACACCTGCCTTGTTTCTTTCAGGGTTTCTTTGAAGACGTCAACTATCTCTGGCACATCACTCAAAAGTGTGTAAGCTGTGTCCAACTGGCTCCCTTAATGGACCACAGTCTCCATGACACCAGGGCTGTGTCCTGCTCTCAGCTCCATCTACCTGGGAATTCCCACCTTGTGTTCAAGGGGTTCACCATTAGGTGGGGAGACCGAGAAGCAGAAACCACTGCAGCAGTCATGAGATGTGCCAGGGACTGTTTTTAAACCAACCTTTCAATATTTGGCTTCTCTGAGAAAAACAGCCAGTGCTTTCTGTGGAACGTGCCAGCAACCAGTGCTCAGCACAGGCTCTCGCCCTCCTGGCATCAGATGGAAAGGAGCTCAGGGACACTGCACAAGGCTTGTAGCACACCAGACACCACAGTGTGTGGTGGCTCACAGGGAGTGCTGGCCTCCACACACGACCCACTGGAGCCTCTATTAGCAGAGGCGCCAGCCCAGACGCTCGCACGGCCACACCTGAAGTACACAGAAGTACTCTCTTCATATACACGGTTCCCACCAAAGCCAGGGATGTGAGTGGTTAGAAGGCACTGACCTCTCTTGGGGCTTAGGAGAAGCACATTTAAATTAGAAGTCTTCAGTGTTTTAGGATTTCAAAAGTTAAATCATGTGCGACGTTAAGAAACTCCAGTGAAGCTACCACAACTGCTAAGACAACGGGATAAAACTCCGGAGGTGCAATAGCTCCAAAGCCCTGTCAGCCAGGTGCTCCATGTTGTCTGAGGGGACAAGATCCTGGTTTGTGAAACATGGAGGTGAGCACCAGGGAGAGCGAGCAGATTGTGAATGACAGGATCTACCTTCAGAAAGTGAAGCCAGCAAACCAACTCTCACCAAGGCAGATGGAGAAGGAATCGAGCTTCAAAACCCAACCATCTTTCTTAGAGAAATAAGACACATACTGTGTTATCCACCAGACTCTACCGCGCCGCGAGGCAGGCAGCGACCCGCGTTTAGGAAGGCTTTTTCTCACTGAAAAGTGAGTTCTGAGGCTGCATTTTCAGTTCTGACATTTAGCTCATGAAGTATTTTCCACTTGGAGACAATGTCATGGAGCTAAGGCATGCACGAGGGACTCATGATGGGTCACACAGAGATGGGGGGTGAGGATGGAGGAACAGGGAGATCACCAGAGTGCTAAGGCCAAACTCGGCACTGTTAGTGATTGTCACAGTGTCAACAGGAACCAAGGAAATAAGCAAGCCACCCGAGCAAACTGGGGAAGGGAATGCTGAGGCCTCCCCTGCAGCAGCACAGCTCAGCAGAGCACACAGGCCACTACGCTGGCGCTGGCGCTGGCGCAGCCACAGGATCTTCATTTGCAACACAAAAGTTTTATGCAGCTTGTTCAATGGGTTATTTCTATATTCCAGGTAAAGCAAAGCAAAACAAACAAACAACAACAAAACAACCAGATGCTCTGATTCATACATATTTTGCAAGTTTTTCAAGGCTGCTGATTTGGATGGTGTGAACACCTGTCCACACTCCTTCAGCCTGGGCCCTTCAGAACAAATTGAGGCTCTCAGGGCATACACCAGGCAGGGTTGAACCACCTAAACTTGCCCCAGACTTACTGAATTTCACTTGGAACATAAACTCTATTTACTAAAGCAGATAACTACAGTTATCTACCTCAGTTAAGTTTCTCAAAGTAGTCTCAAAAGAGCATTTTTCTCTGTAAGAACGTGGATAAAATACTTTTAGAAAAATGCTGGCTACTGGTTTAGGTAGAATCAAGGACACATGACTGAGAATGTCATTCAGTTTCCCATGGTTTGCTGTCTCTTGATTACAGTTTTATCAAAGGGAATATAGGTCAACTTGTTTTTATATAGGTAAAATACCTACTGCAAACTTTATATTCCTGTATCAAATGTCAAGAGTTAAAAACCTACATCCCAATTTAGAGAATGATCATGTATCTTCCTCACCAAAAGAAATACATTGTTTAATAAGGTATTTTCTTTGGGGAATTGAGATGGCCTAGGAGTTCCTAGTGATTTTCATTAAGTGGCACTGTTATACAGAAAGGCAGAGGGCAAGGGGGACCATTTACAGCCACCTCTTGCCAATTACTTAGACTAGTGCACGCCAAACCCAAAGGCAATGACTGTGAGCACCTCCAGGACCACAGCAGCCCTGGAGCCCACCCAGGGGCTGATGCTGCAGGAGACAATGCTGGACTGGGGGGTTCCGAAGACACCAGCGCATGGCTCCTGGCTGGGGTAAGAGGAGGGTTAGTGCTAAAAGGCAGAATTTGGTTAATTTTTAACAACAAAATACCAAGCTTATAGAAATCTTATTTCAGGAAAGAGGACATCATCTTCCCACTGTATCTATTTCAATTCAATTTTCTTACTTCTAGAATTAATTTAATATTAAAAAAAAGGGGAAACATGGTTTGAGCTATTGCATATAAGACATATGAGAAAACAAACCACATCCTGGAGTAGAGGCTGTATCCTGATTTTCTTTTTACCACAGTATGTTTCATAAGATTGATATCTTCTTTTAAAAGTAGAAAAATGTCATTTCTGTGGTAAAACGTTATGGGGCAAAATAAGTACTTGTACAAGAGGAGGGTCATGAAGGTGAAAATTATTCCTTTATTGCAGACACTTCCACATACAATATCGGTGAGAGCCAATTCCCATGCCCAGCCACGCCCCTATCTGATAAGGCATTCAAGCAACACCCTTGACATTTTCATGTTACTCTCTTTTTTAGTACCTGGGGATTCGCTTTGGCTAGATTTTCTATTTTAACCCATGCTTCTTCTCGCTCTTTCATTTTTAGCTTCTCTCTGAAAAATAGTAAAACATTATTTGTATTAGAGATGGTTGATACTGAAGACGACACACAGGAGGGAAAGCAGGGAGAGAGCCGTGACACCACTGTTTCTTCTTGTTATTTGGGTCTTAGTCCACACGCCTCACAGTGCTTCTCAAGAGGTGCATAATGTGAACAATGAAATTAAAAACTGGCTGAGATTTAGAAGATTAAACAATGAAAAATGCTAAAAATTTAATAAGTCTGAGAATTTAAATTCTTCACTCATTCAAGTGTGATATTCGCATTCTTGGGGTCAGGTGCTTCTTCAGAGGACCTAGACTACTCTAATGAGGAGCTTACTCATTCACTGAGAACCAGACTCCATCACAGATTGGAAGGAAGTAAGCTGGCAAGAGTCGGCATTCCAGTACTGATGGGTCACCAGGGAATAGTCCTGGGAGCCAGGAGACCTGGCTTCTTGTCTGATTTTGCTGTTAAGAATCATAAGACCTTCTGGAAGACAATGAATTTGTCTACTTTTTTTTTTTAAATGAAGAAAAATGTACTAGGAGGAGCTTGAAGGCCTTTTTCAGAGTACTGATTCCCTGAAGGGAGGATGTGCCACTAGAGAAGCCATGATGCTTAGAAACTCCCTACCTGCATGCAACCTCAGCCCTCAGATAAGGAGGAGCACAGGCTGGAAGGCTGGAAGAGGGTCACTGTGCCTCCTTATGGCCTGGTGCCTTTATTTTGCTGTCATCTCACATACCTTATACTTCACTTTTTTTGTATTTTGTTCTCTTTTACTTTCTTTATGTAAAATACAAATTCTGTCACAGCAATGATTTCATTTGTTGTATTCACAGCCGTATTGTTAGAAACTAAAACAGAGTCTGCAGTACATGTTACACTCACACATTTGTCTAGAATGAATAAGTTGGCCACACAGACATTTTGTAATGTGAATTACAGAAATTCAAAGTTTATCTACCCTAGCCAGTTTTAAGTGCCAAGGAAAGAATAAAATCTGCCAACAGTCTGCACTCGACTCTGAAGAGTGACTTTCAATTACTAACCAACCACATGATTTTGAGCTTGGCCTAGGGATAGAGCACCTTGTCACCCAGGCTGTCCCTGGGCAGATGTGAGCTCTGAAGTTCTCAAAGGCACAAAAGCAGAACCCTAACTTTGTCAAGGACAGAAGGTTCCTGAGGATGCCCACGTTATGGAGATGATTAAATTAGAAAAAGCTATGCTGAAGTGTGGGTTCTTGCTCTCTCATAAACCCTTCAGGATGCGATTCTAATTCCTGCCTTATAAGCATGACAAATGACTACACCTGACAGCCACCCCAAATGCTAGATTCCTGATCACATACACACTCTCATCGGCAAAGATGACTGACTAACCACAGAAGGGAGGACGGCCAACTTTTTAACCTGTATTCCTTGAAAATAACTCACCTTAACTAACTTTTAGTTTGCTTTCCACATATGAGAGGACCAGTACTGATCTAAAGCTAAGAATGACTTTTTTAGAATGGAACAATGGTGGAGACTTATTCAGTATTATTCCAGAACCCTGGAAACAGCAACTTGCAAAAGGAACAACTTACTTCAGTTTCTCTGCTTTAAACTGTTGTGTGCAGTCATCAAACAATTTTTGGTTCATTTCCATGAAGAGTTTCAGGGCATTGTATATCAAGCCATGTATCGTCCTGCAGAGAAGATTACACAGTGAGACGCAACATTGGACCTTTTGGTCATTCTCCCTCCCCACTTTCCTCTTTCAGACTTCTCAGGCTACTGTGGACTTCAACAGTCCCACTCCCATCTTCCTAGTCCTCAACAGGGGAGGCCTGTGGTCTGACTCCCATCTGTCCTGGGGTCTGCTACTCAGTCTAGGAGCCCCCCACACAGGCCACTCAGCTCACCACCTGGCTACCAGCAGCCAAAGCCATCTTGCTTGGAAACTGATTTAAAAATGTTGAAACCCCAAGAAATATAATGAAGACAATACAATACAGAAGTAAATGTCTATAAATGTCAGTTTCCTTTCAATCTTATTCATTGAGGATAATTTTAACGATGCCAGGAGCTGGGGTGTGGCTCAGTGGTACAGCACTTGCCTAAGCACATATGAGGTCCTAGGTTTAATTTCAGGCACTGCAACCCTGCCCCCAAATAACAATAAATAAAACAAAAAGAAACCTCAAAGTCAACAAATAACAAAAAGAAAACCAAAAATAATGTGGAAGCAGACCATAAAAGAGCTCGATCAAAGCTTAGCTCTCTGGCCTGATGCACATGGAGGAGGAGGGGCCCAGCTGTCGCTGAATCTATGCAGAGCCCTGAGAAGAGCAAGGAAACTGCCCAGCAGAGCACCACTGACCCACAGTTGTGAGCAGCAATAAAATAGCAAACAAAATGAAGAGGACTGAGTGCCAAACCATAACCACTTTTTAATCTTCATAATGAAACTCCTTTATCTTAGAAAATGCTTCCTTCTTTGCAAAAGCAGGATGGAGCCACCAGCTTTGCTCTGGCGTCATGCTGCACACATGTGCAGGAGTATGGCCAGACTGGGGCTCTGCCATCACCCGCTGTGCTCAGTAAAAACCCTAAGTGCTTCAAAACAAAGGTCACTGGAAGTCACTATCCTGCTGGACTGGATGAAGGATGCTGCCACCCCAGGGGCTTGGGAGGCTGAGACAGGAAGGTCTCAAGTCTGAGACTAGCTTCAGTGACTCAGTGAGTCCTGTTTCAAAATAAAAATAAAAAGGGCTGGCGATGTGACGAGTGGTAAAGTGGGGAAAATACCCCTGGGCTCAACACTACAACTCCCATGACAGGAGGCCCGCACCTGGCTAAACCTGCAACTGCAAAGCTAGGGCCACATGCACTGGAGGCCTGTTCATGCCAGGCATTTTATGTATATTGGCTTTAGGAAGTCTTCAAGCAGGCAAAGGGGGCCACAAAACAAACACTTAATATATACAGGCATTACCTTAAACAGCAAAACAATGTGGTGAGTGTCAGTATTTTCTCTATTTTTCAGTTGAGGAAACGTGGCTGGGGAAGACCTAGAGGTTCACCTTGCCCAGGTGGAGCTTGCTTCTGACCTGCCTGCTCTCTGCTCACCACCTGGATGGCCCCTGCTGCCCCAGAGTGTCAGGCAGAAAAACACAGAGCAAGCCTGCTGCCCTGGGCTTACTCTGGGAAAGAAGCCATGTGGCCTGCAGCCTCAAGTGGGCAGGACAGAGCTCCGCAGAGGGCTGGCCATGGGAAGTAGGAGCACTACATGGCAGACACTGCGGGTTAGGAGACCACACTGGAGCCAGGGAGCTGCTGACCAGCTTTAGGACTACAGGATCGTGTGTGGTCCCTTCCAGTTTGCTTTCCTGTCTACAGGACAAGCAGGAATCTAGCTATCACAGCTCTGCCCTTATTGCTTTAAATTCTTTCTTTTTTTTTTTGTACTGGGGATTGAACCCAGGTGTACAGCTTGAAGCTGTCTGTATCCCAGGCCCTTTCAATTTTTGATATAGGGTCTCACTACATTGCCCAGGCTGGCCTTGAATTTGTGATCCTCTTGCCTCAGTCTGCTGAGTGGCTGGGATTATAGCAGTACACCTGAGTCACTGGGATTACAGGTGTGTGCCACTGTGCCTGGCCCTGATTTAAATTCTAATTTATGATAACACAAAAAGAAAAAAAGATGGAGAAAGAAAAACTCTGGTACCCACATTTATTTGAATAACACGAATATTAAGTTCAGTATTAATCCTAATGCAGCACCCACATGGATAGTTTCCTTTTAAGGTCTCAGAAGGCTGTCACTGGGAGACTCCATTTCTTCACCTTCATTAAGTGAAAAGATGAAGGAGAGAAGTAGATATTCTCAGTTCCTCAGGTGTGTTAAAGATGCCTGCTCTTCCCTCTGGCCCTCCAGGCAGTGACCACAGCAGGATGGCTCCCGGTCTCACAGAGGGGCTCCAGGGGGTCTGTCAGCAGGTTGGCCCCTGTGCTTCTCACAGCACTGAGCCCAAGCTCTGCAGTGACCTTCAACTCCCCTGGGGGCACTCAGGAAATGTGTGGAAGGTGCAGCTACTGAAACCAGCAGGGTGCAGACACAGGGTCCTCTGTTTTGGCTTGAAATAGGAGTAAGGAAGCAAAACAAAAGCCAATGCAGACACTCTACATGTGTAACTTAAAAACCTCAAAGAAATCAACATAATTTTAAACTGATATTAAAATTTGGATTTACATTCTTATTGCAGTAACAGAAAAACATAAACATTTAAAAATATGCAGGAAAGAGAGAGAGCCCATTCTTTCTTACTTGTTCCAATGGGTCTTTGAGTTGCGGTACAAGGATGGAAACATGATGGGCAGAATCTTTGCTGCATTGTCACTAATTAAACTCATAATGTATTCATTATTCCAGTAATACAGTGCTCGCTCTGCCACCTGGAAGACAGGATGCGTTAGTGTCCTTGGTGTTCATGCTCCAGCACAGGAGGCAAATATCCTCACTGTTAACCTATAAACAGGATAACGAGTTACAATGCATCAGAAAATTAATTATTTCAAAATATTCTAGACTGTAACCTTAAAGAGCCTACAACAATGGGGCAGCAGATAATTTCTTATTATGAAGAAATGAAGAACGTCGTCATTCACCTCTCCATTTATTCAATTTATGCTAGATATTAGGTTAGATGCTCAGGATACAAAGCAAATAAGTTCATTCTACTCATCCATCCATCCATTCACCCATCCACCTATCTATCTCTCCATACCCCCACCAACATCATTAGTTGCTAGTATATGACATGTGTTCAGCTTGAGCATACGGCAGTGGATGAAGGCAGGCAGAAATGCTTGACTCTGCAGAGCTTACGTTCTGGAGGGGAGCAGACAAAGGACAGTGATTATTTGATTTGCTAGAAATGATGAGTCATGGAGAAAGGCAGCAGGGAAGGGCAGGCGAGTGGGTTGTGGGTGGGACTTCAGCATGGAGAAGGTGACATGTGAGCCAGGCCCTGGGGGAGGGCAGGTCCTAAGAGTGAGGAGGAAGGAGTAGGGGAGGAACCAGCAAGGGGGACGGGGAGCTAAGACCCCAAAGCAGCATTTCAGAGCCCACACTCTGGTGAGAAGGAAGCTGTGGGAGGGCCCATTATTATTATTGAGTAATATTCATTACTAAAAACTTCCAACACACAAAGCTGTATGAGCACCCACATCCCTGCACCTAGGACTGTGGCTGCGCCCCTTGGCCCTCCTTGCTGTCCGGCTGTAGTTGACAGCCACACCCATGCACATCCTGCGGAACCATCCGAGTCAGAGTGTGTGGGAGCCACTAGGACACGTGACCCATCCCTGACTTGGCATGTGCTTCCCTAGGTAGAGTCGACCCGCCTCCATAACTACTTCCCAACATCACATCTCAGTGTGCAGATCTGGCAGCAGTCCTCAGAAGCTCAGAGCAAAGCAGAGATGGCATTTCTGTCACCAGAAACCTAGAGATTGTGAGTTCATGTGTGGTGGTGCAGGCAGATGCTGAGGGTATGGTGGGTGAGGCCTGTGCAGGGCTCAAGAATCAGGGGTGATTTCTCAGAGAAAGCCAGGTGGGTGAGCTTTTCAGAATCTGGGTGAATATGATGAAGGGGAGGGAAAGATGTTTGAGAACAGAGAGCATTAATTTATAAAGGAATCAGGACAGCATCAGTAGCTTCTAGGATCATTCCTATTTAAGAGTTGGATACTTTGAGTTTTAAAAAACACCCATACATCCATAAATATATTTGTGGTAATATTTTAAGTCTAAATTTGAAAGTAGAAGTTTGAGATGCTTAATGGCTTAAATTTTGAATTATTCTTCAGTTTTTAACATCAGCAATTTATTATTAGTATTAGTAGTAATCGTAGTACCAGGGATGGAACCCAGGACCATCGCCATGTTAGGCAAGTGCTCTCCCTCCTTCCTTGCTCTCCCTCCTTCCTTCCTTCCTTCCCTCCCTCCTTCCTTCCTGGTACTGGGGAGTGAACTCGCGGGCACTCGACCACTGAGCCACATTGCCAGCTCTATTTTGTATTTTTATTTAGAGACAGGGTCTCACTGAGTTGCTTACCACCTCACTGTTGCTGAGGCTGGCTTCAAACTCGAGATCCTCCTGCCTCAGCCTCCTGAGCCACTGGGATTACAGGTGTGTGCCACTGTGCCCAGCTTCTTCTTTATTTTTTATTTTGAGACAGGGACTCATTGAGTTGCCCAGCCCGGCCTTGAACCTGCAATCCTCCTGCCTCAGCCTCCTGAGTTGTTGGGATTACAGGTGTGTACTTCCACTCCTGACTAGAAACATTATTATTAATTTTTTAAGTGTAAGGGGAGACATATGATGTCAGAAATAAACTTACAGGGAAAAAGAATTTCAGACCTGGAGATTCTGAACATCACATCATCTATCACTACTGATCAGTCAGCTGTGGAAACAAGGTCAGGTGGTCTGGGGGACTCGGAGCTTGATGACACTTTCACAGAGAAGCTGCTTTTCATAGCTCTTATTGAGAAAAATGCTTTCAGTGGTGAGGACAAGGTTCTAGGATACAGTTTTTAGAAATAAAGTTTTTTTCACCTTATTTTTGAAGTATGATTAAAGTAAAAACTTGAATTTTACCTTAAAATTATATGAGAAGCAAACCACAGTTATAAACTGGAATGTTTTATTTCCAAAAGTAACATTCTGAAATCATCTAATTATCTTTCTCCGAAACCCACATACCTGGAAGTGTGGGCTGGAAACGCACTTGGCTAACTGCCGGAAGAGAGGCTCCATGATCTTCACAAACTCCGAGGGTTCAATGACATCTAAAATTTCTTCTAATTCATTTAAGAACATTACTTCTTTTGGACTGTGGGTCTTTGGCCAGTATTTGAGAAGTGCCATTACCACCTATAAAAGAAATGACATGATGGGAAGTGATGCCCCTAAGCTGCCACACCTGGGCAGGCAGAGTCTCTGTCTAGTCAGGGGCCCCCCACTGCAGAGCAGCACAGAGGTGGTGTTGGCCTCTGGTGGGACGATCAGACTCAGTAATTCACAAGAAGTATTTTATAATTTGATAAACAGGCCTAATTTTACTTCAGACTCACAGTTTTAATTTATGTGACCCACTCTCTGATCAACCACCATCTCAGTAAGTCAGTTCCTTTAATTAAAAAAAAAAAAAAAAGACACAAAACAAAAAACAAAACCTGCTAGCAGTTAGGAGAATTCTGTCAAAGACTAGAGGAGACCTTGCAGAGCATATGCCTTCATCTGTGCATTCTGGGGTGGAAGTGGCCAGATATGAAACTATTGCCAACATGTCCAGGCACGTGCAATCCACTTCTCAGATTAACTGAACACTTGATGTATTTATGCACACCCACACATGTATGCATGTGGAACAGTTTGTAACTGTGTTAAAAAGCATCAAGAAGAGTGCAGTGAACCAAGCAGATGCCAACTCACCCAGGGTGCGTGGCAGACCTGGGCAGGGTCCTCGCTGGCTCCACTGCTTGCCTGTGGGCCCTCAGCCAGCAGGAGCATGTGGCAGTAGTGACTCTGGCCTGGAGCCCCACCCAATCAGACCACAGGGGTTCCTGATTTGTGGATGTTGTTCCTCGCTCAAGTTAGACAGCTAGAAAGGGATTCTGCAGGGGAAGCTTTTCTTCCTTCTCACTTCTTCTCCCTCTCTCCCTTCCTTTCTGTGGTACTGGAAACTGAACCCAGAGGCACTCTATCACTGAGCCACAATCCAGACCCTTTTGTTTTATATTTTGAGATAGGGTCTTGCTAAGTTGCCCAGGTTGGCCTTGAACTTGTAATCCTCCTAGATCCTCCTGAGTTCCTGGGATTACAGGAGTGCCCCACAGTGCACACCTAGAATAATTCTGTGTGATGCTTTTAGCACTTGGGTTCCTGGGTAATTGTTTATAATATTATGTTTCATGAAACTTCAGCCTTTATTTAAAAAAGTGCTCTTTGTATTGAGGTTATAGCTTAGTGGCAGAGTGCTTGCCTGGCATGCACAAGGCCCTGGTCCCAGCCCCAGTACTGAAAAAAAAAAAAAAAAAAAAAGTGTTCCTAGTTTTGAAGTCTGACATAAAAATTCACAACAACAAAACTGTCTTAAAGGAATTATTTCTAAAAGTGCATCATTTAATCATTTACCTTCTACTTGTAGCTCAAAATTGTTTAGTAGATATTTATTAACTACCTATTCTGCATGCTGGAATTATTGTTACGAAGACGCTGATTACAAATCACTTCATAAGCCTTTATGTCTGCCAATGGAATATTATAATGAGAAATATATTAATTTTTGAGTTACACAAAACAACTGATTTAGCTATTTATTTCACTGGAAAAGATATTAGTTGTACAATCAGGTTCACGCACTGGACTTATTCCTCCTGCTTCTTGAAACCCCTGTGATCAGTACTCAGCCATCTCAGCTGCTCCTGAACATGGTGGGATTTTGTAGAGGAGGTATCCGCTCACGGACTGCTAATCCTGGGCAAAAGGCTACTTGCCTACAGTTCTGGGCACTGAGCTTCCTTGGAAACCCAATGGACTACCTGCCCTCTGGAGGGTGAGCAGTCCTGGTGAGTATGGCTCTGGGCATGGCCTCAAGCCCTAGGAAGCTCCCTGTCCTGGTGCACTCAGGCAAAAGAGCTGCACCAGGCCGTGTAGTAAAACTCGATTAGCCAAGAGGCAGGTGGGTGCAAACAGGCATAATACTTGTCTGTAAACTCTCTAATGAGCCTTTATTCTTACAATGATAAATAGGTTTAATGTGCCCAGAAGCTTGTGAGCATGGCCTACCATGTGAAATGAGATGACATTAACTGTAGGTTACAAACAGGACAAATCTCCTTTATAAAATTGTAATATTCGAGTGGACCATACTTCAAAAAAGTATTCTTGAGCCTGGAAAGGTAGCTCTAGGTACTCAAGTGGAGGCACACCTTCAGAGTCCACGACTGGACTGCATTCCTGGTTAGTTTCTACTGCTGAAGTCAGACACAATGGCCTTTGTATTTTCCTAAATCATTAATTTCAAAGGAAGAAATTCATTGAGGTGAGGATCTGAATGTTTTTAATATATAGAAAATTAAATCTGCTTTACGTAGGCAGGAGAGTACTGTTACATTATCTGTGCAGCAGAATTAAGAAACGAAGTGGTCCTGGGTGGACATGCCAGGGACTGGGTCTGTGGCTTGTCTGTGCTGATGCTGAGCCAGAGCTCAGCATGACAGCTTAGAAGCGAGGCCACATGGCTCCTGCCTTCTTCAAGACTGTGGCAGTCAAGCTCTCGCTCTGCCACGTGTCATGTGCTTGATTACTTCCTATATAAGTGGGAATTAAAGTCATTTACAAACTTCATCAGCTTACACCAACTCCCAGGTGGGAGGGGATAGGGTGGAGCCTGCACACTGAGCTCCAGCGGCCAGGGCTTCAGGCGACAGCGGCTGGCAGGCAGGGTGTTGTGGGAGGTGACGGGTGGGAGAAGTTTCAGGCTGTAGTAAATGGGGTGAGACATTTGGTGAGTTCTTTAGCCATTAAAGAGTATGAGAAACTGAAATGCATTCTGCTGTCATATAACAAATTAGAATAAAAAAAAAAGCACATTTTAAGGATATAAGAATGGAAATCATTTTCATCTCTTCCTACTCCCATGGATTACCACTAAGGGACAAGATTTGCTTGATAAGAGTATGTGTCACTCAACAATCACTTACTAGCTGTATTCTGAAGATCTTTTCAAAAGCAAATAAAAGAGTGAACTGTGAATTTCCCCATCTTTCCTACTAAGGTGCATGCTATGGTAAAGAATGTTTTCAAAGCACAGTTAAAAAAAGAGTATGAGAAAAGTGTACAAAGAAAAATCACAATACTTTGTGTACTTTTTCCTCTCCTATATCTTTCTTTTCCTTTGGTTTGAATGGAAGAATGGGGTGGGGCTGGTGGAACTTCTTTGCATGTTACTTTCTTCAGGAAAAACATCAAATAGATGGAGGATTAGGGCATATAACCAGGGGGGAAAATACTATAGCCCCCTGCCACCCACCAGTGGGTGGTGCTGTGTGACCAAACCCACAGCCTTGGCACACACTAGGCAGGTGCTCTACCCACGTTTTAAAATTAATAACACTTTCTTTTTTCTCTTCTCTACCTAACATGATTGCAGTCCAGTGAAGAGGATAAAAATAACATCCTCACAGAAAATTTGACTAAGAATCTTAACCATGCTTCTTCTGAAGTCTGATATGATCTGGCATATTCCTTGTGGTCTTCCTGAACCTCATTTAGAGGAGAGGCAGAGGTATCTGGAGACCAGGGGAAAAGAGGGCCAGGACAGGGCACCCGTGAGGGCTGCTGGCAGGTCTGGCATGCAGCACTGCAGCCTGTTGCCTCTGAAATCTGCAGAATGAGAGCTTTTCCTGAATTTCATGGGACAGCTGGGGTTGGGGGTGGATTACATATAGAATTTAATAACGTGGAGGCAGTGACCAAAAGTCAGTGTAACTTGGGAATTTGTGAAGAATTTCTCACTCATTTTTATTAGAAAAACTATAATCTCACAAGGAAACCGTGAAGAATAGCCAATAGGACTAAGGACTCAGGAATTGTAGTATCTATCTTTTCAATTCTAACAGAAGCTTTTTGGAAAAAGAGGACTCAAATATTTAAACTGGCACCTGATGCTCCTTTCTTGGCTCTTCAATAAGGAATAACAACTTGGTTTTTAAAAAGTGCAATGCATTTGAAACAGACATTTCTCCAGAGATGGCTGAGGAATATGAAAAGACAGCCCAAGCCATTAGTTGGTAGAGGAGCACCAACCAAAGTCATAACAGGTGCCACCTCTCATCCACCAGGATGGCTGGAGTGACAATTAAAAACAAAAAGAAGGGGGCTGGGATGTGGCTCAGTGGTAGAGTGCTTGCTTAGCATGCGTGAGGCACTGGGTTTGATTTTCAGCACCACAAACAACAAATAAAATAAAGATCCATCAACAACTAAAAATTAAAAACAAAACAAAACAAAAAACAAAAAGGAAAACAAGCACTGATGAGCACGTGGAGCACCTGCATCCTTGCCATGCTATTTTCCATAGCTGCTACCCCAAGTGCAAAACAGGGTAGCCTCAGAAAAACAGACAGTCCCCATGTAACCAGCAGTCCCACCCCAGGAGCCCACCCTGAGGAACTGAAAGCAGGGCTGGAGCAGACAGTCGACACCCTGTTCACGCAGCATCATTCATGACAGCCAGAGGAAGGGCCACCAGTGTCCACTGATGGGTAGACGGGGAGTAAAGTGTGGTCTGTGCAGACAATAGAGCACTATGCGGCCACAACAAGGAGCGATGTTCTACAACATGGGCGAAGCCTGTGAGGCACTGCACCATGGGAGAGGAGGAGTACAGCAGGCTCCACTCTCCTGAGAAACCCGAGCAGTCAGCTTCAGGAGAGACTGATTCAGGGAGCAGGTGCTGGGAGAGGGGTGGGAAGTCATCATGGACCAGGGACAGAGTTCCTGTTTGGTAGCATGGCAAAGTTTTGGAAACACACTGGTGGTGGTTGCATAATACTTGCTGACACTGAACTGTACACTTCAAGTAGTTGAAAAGGCAACATTTTATGTTCCAGATGTATATCTTTTACCACAACAAAAAAATCAGTATTGTAATATACCAAAAATCTTTGTACACTTTAAATGGTAAGTGAATGTATGGTAAGTGAATTATATCTTAACAAAGCTGTTTCAAATCCTGAAACTATCATTTGACACGCCTGATTCTGTTAATCTTGGCTACAATAGCCTTTTTTATTTTTTAATGAAGATAAAATGCCAAGAAAATTAGAAATCCAAAACTGAATGGCATCCATCTAGTTTTGAGTTGTAATTCAAAGCTCATAGAACAGCTACACCCTAACTTGGAAAGAATCTTCAGGATAATACAACCTCTTGTATAAAACAAGCATTTCACACTCTCACTAAGCCACCTCCAACTGGAGTCGGGACATGCTGTAGGTCTGCACTGATGTGAAGGCCTGAGCATGCACGGCTGGGGGCTGCAGCTGCTCAGTGCTCTGCTCTCACAGGTGTGAAGCACAGCGTGGGCAGGGCAAGCTCATCACGTAGCAGAACCACACAGTAAAGGACCTCGCAGCGAAAACAACCGCACTCTGAAAACCTGTCAAGCTCAAATGAGACCAGCTTGTAGGTTACTAGAGTGAATTAATCCACACGCTGGTGAGGCGGGGGTGCTTCGAGGGGAGGAGGAGAGCAGGCAAGGCGGTCGGGCCTGAGAGAGCACACTTACTGGTTCAGTGAGGGTGCTGTCCTTCTCTAAAAACTGCACGACGCAGTACGCCAGCTGAAAAGGGATGAGAGAGAGTGAGCACCTGGCTGCAGTGTGGAAACGTCCCCTTCACACCCTTCTCTGACAAGACAGCTTGATGTGGCTGAGCGGCTGCCCCAGGGTGTTCACCCACCCCAAGGGCTCTGAGTGGGATGCTCAGGGAGGGACCCCAGGACCCCTGCTCTTTCCCAATTAGTTGGTAATGATCTGAAAGCAAAAAAAAAAAGAGCACCTTTTACACTACCCACCCACCAAGGTGACCAAGATGACCCAGTACGATGGGCTTTCCTTGTGGTCCTTTTGGAGATTAGTGTGAACAAGAAATCAAACAGCTGGGAACAAATTAAAATCTGGTTCCATCTGAAATCTCTGAACTATTAATTCCTTTTGTACAATTAATACAACAACAAACTGAATGTAAAAATACCCCAGTTAGCAGCAACTGACTGGTGGAACTAACAGTGGTGACCGCCAAGGATGCACGTGCAGTGGCCTGCTGCTCAAGGCGGAGCCCTCCTGAACCGCCAGCACTGAGGTCACAGAGCGGAGGAGACTTAGTCTCCCAGGCCAACAGAGCTACCTAACCAGATGGAACCACTTGCTGGCTGATCTTGCAGCACTCTCTGGTCAGATCTGTATCTTAGAAATCCAGTCTTTTTTTTGTCTTACTAGACTTTGCGACAGACAGCTGTCGTCTGGTAGTCCTCTTCGCCTCCTTTTGCAGAGGCAGCTACTCCCTTTTCTATGCTAAAAGTGAATCGTATTATTCTGTATTTCAGAGATTTTCCTGAATATTTTAAAGGCAATCTCTCTTTGCTTCTTATTCGATTACTGCGAGGGCCTTATTACAGAAGGTGGTGACATGAGAAAGAAAACACGCTGGGAACAGGCTGGATCCCTGCCCTGGGTTCTGATGATGGCATGTCTTCATGCCTGCCCCCTTACCTGCGGATGGTAGACACTCAGAGATTTCACTTTGTGCAAAGGTAGCAACACCTTCAACAGGAAAATCTTGTGCTCTTCTTTTAGTGGTAAGGCAAATCCATTAATTATACTGTGAAGAAAGAATTTATTCAAAGTTTAAATATTTACAAATTTCAGATTACAATCAAATATTGTATTTTTCTTTCTAGCATGAAAATCTAGTAGACAAAATATGTATTTCATATGAATCAGCAGAATATAAAATAAATATATTTGATGAAGTATAACCATTTTTATCCTTGTGATTACAAGGTAATGATTAAGTTGGGTTTATAGGGAGTGGCTCAGGAGCAGGAAACTGGCTGTACTACAGGGGTCCTGGGGGAAGAAAGTCTGCACAGCTGAGGGGTCCCAGCTCTTCTTTTGGGCTGCATCTCTCTTTTGGGAAGGTGTCCCTGGAGTATCCAGGCTCACTGTAGTGTTGGCCACAGAATCCAGGTGTGGGCACAATGGCTGGTCAAAAATCAGTTAGAAAGCTGCTCCCTTGTGCAAGGAAAGGGCAAAGGTCTCCAAACTCAAGTTTTAGTCTCAAGCATCAACTGGTTTAATTATTTATTCTTATAACTAGGCAAATGCAGATAAATGTTTGAGAGTTACAGAGCAGTTACAGCAATTCTAACATGCTCCTCCACAATCCACGAGCTTAGGGTGCAGTGGGTACCCGCTGGGGCCCTAAGCTTGTTCACATGGGAAAACCCCTGGGCAAACCCCCAGGATAAAAACCAGATGGCAGGAGTGAGAGCAGCACAGCGGCCTTCACACCTGCAAAGCACATGCCCTCTCTGTGGCACCTGACTGGGAACGTGATCATCCTTCCCACTTGAAAGAAGGAACTTGTCCCAGGTTGTGCAACTGGGAAGGAACAATCCTCAACCACATTATGCCATGCTTTGAGAGACCCTGTCCAGCATGTGGACACTAACCTAAGAGAACTCCCAATGGGGACTGAGCTTTTTCAAACCACATCCAAAACAGAAGCCAAGTTTTTCTCAGAACTCTTGCTCAGGACCAGACAACAGTGTCTGTGAGACGAGATTCTGTGTTCAAATGCTGTGGGGACCACTGGATTCAGTATGAGAACAGGTTTCTTTACTGCAGGCTCCTCAGAACCCCAAGCCGCTCCTGCACATCAAAGGCAGAGTGGAAAAGCACTCCCAAGCCATTTACCTTGGAACCCTGAGGAACTCTGCAACAGTGGATTTGGAGGCCTAATATAAAATCTACAGACTACGGATTTTAAAAGAATGACAGTAATGGAGAACTTTATCTGGATTAAGATGATGAAAAGTTGAAATGGCAATTACTTTACAGGTGTGTGTGTGTGTGTACATATATATATATATATATATATATATATATTTATTTATGAAAAATCCACAAAATCAAAACAATTTGAGATATTGTGTACATTAATACGCAATACCCCAAGTGTAAACCTTCTAATAAGCATCTAATATAAACCTCAGGTAACTGAACTCAGGAGCACTTGACCAGTGAGCCTCATCTCCAGCCCTATTTTGTATTTTATTCAGTGAGTTGCTTAGTGCCTTGCTTTTGCTGTGGTTGGCTTTGAACTCACGATCTTCCTGCCTCAGCCCCCCGAGCCCCTGGGATTACAGGCGTGCACCATTGCACCCTGCTTCAGGTAATTACATTGCTCCCGCAGAAATGCAGTTCCAGTATCGACACTGAGGTGTATGAAACGGAACCTGGATACAACCAAAAGCCTAGATGGAGCCTCCATCTGGCGTGCTCTAACCCAAGAGCTCACCGGCTCCAAGTCCCTTCTCTCAGAGTGGATAAGCTATCTCGCTCAGGGAGGGAGACAGCTGAGCTCCATGAGCTGGGTCATTCTGGCACACACTCCACCCACCATCCTTTGCTGCCAGTCACAGAGACTTACCTCCCCAATATTTCCAGCAATTCTGCTATGCCATTGTGATGCTCTGTTTCATAAATAAATCTAGAAAAAACATTTTGCCAGTTAGAATCAGAATCTAAACAACAGCTGGAAAGACTAAAATCCTCTGAAAAAATAAAGCTTGCAGAAGGAAGCCAGGGAACCAGGTGGCAAGAGGCTGGTGCATCTGTGAAAACTTTCCGGGGTAGAGGCTCCCTGCCCAAGTGGCCCTTCAAGAATCCAAAGAGCTTCACAAAGCCTGGGGACGTCAATGTCTTGAATGTAAAGGGCTCTTCTTGCTCAGATTTCTTCCCAACATTTTATTTTGAAAAATTAGAACTTCAGAGGGACTACCTACATGTCAACCACCCAGATCTAGCCGCTGATGAGGGGCTCTCTTTGCTTTGTCACACGAACACCCGTTTGTCCCTCTATCCACTCATTAATCCATCTTAATTTTTGTTGCATTTCAACACAGTGGATGTCTTGTTCACTGGTATGGCCTCTATTACTCAGCACAGTCGCTGCAACAGGAACAAGCTCTTTCCTGGACGGCTCTTGGATTACGTCGTCTACTTCCCTGCTGACATCCTGCACTTCCTCTGAGCCGTTGCAAGGGCAATTTTTCCAAAGTACCAATGTGAGTGAGTTTGCTGCAGCCCTGGGTCCCTTCTCTGAGCAGCCTCTGCTTGTCGTGCTCCCTGCGTGAGCCTCTGGAGGAGCTCCTAGACCACATGCCCCAGCCTCCCCAGCTTGTCTCCCTCCAGGCAGGGACAAGGACTTCTAGCTACTTTGCTCCCAGTTCGAGGACCAATCTTGGAATCTGTTTAATGCCTAAATCTGCTAAATGAACTGGGGATACGAAGAGAGAACAGGAAAAGTTCTCACCCAAGGGACTCTCACAGGAGCAGAAGGCCCACTACTGCCCCCAACCTAGGCTCACCTGGCGATGGTTTACACCAATACATGCACAGGATCAGCATGAAGTGAGAGGTGTTGAAAAGGTCCCTGCCTAGCAGATGAAACCTTTCATTCAGAGATTGCTTTAAGCCAAACTTTGTAATCTTTGTGAAGATTAAAAAGAAAAAAAAAAAGAAGTTTCACTGTCTTCATTTGAAACAAAGGGACTACTGACCTTAAGGTGAAGAACAGGCAAACACCTAGAGATAGGAAATATGCCTGAACATGGGTCTTGATGTTTCTGTACTCCCAGATGGCCAGGATTATGAGGGACGGGGCCTGATCTGAGCTCCAAAAGAGGGTTTCTGACAGATTCACAAAGATGGGGTGTGGAGTGGGAAAGAACATAGGTCTGGGAGGCAGGGTGAGAGGTAGGAAGGCAGCGAGGAAGGCTCCATGGCCACTGGGTGACAGAGATCTAACCCCAGAAGCAGCAGGACTGGGCAGCCAAACACAGAAACAGGAAGATGCACTTGGCTGTGGTCTGAAAGCATGGCAAGAGGGTGCCCAGAAAATCTTGGCCTGTGCTCAGGAGTTGGTGCTGCGGTCACATCTGTCTCTCCCACCTCTTTCTAGCTTCTATCCTGAGAGCACGCAGCATTACCAAACCACAGTCCGTTTTCTGCATGCATCCATGTGGAAAAGCACGATTTCTAAAACTCAACCTGAAGGCTCCCCTTTACTTATTTTATTTGAAATACTTATAATGGTTTAAATGCACGAGGCTGAAGTTCTGTGGACAGTGCATCCATGCAGCTGAGAGGTGAGCCAGAGCAGGGGATCCCTTGGGTGCTGCTTCTGGTCATCTCCCCCACTGTATGCATTTACATGGGAATGGCCCTCAGCCCTGAGCCATCTGGCTTTCCTAAACCAGCAGGACATTTTTTTTTTTGGGGGAGGTGCTAGGGATTGAACCCAGGGATGCTCTACCACTGAGCTACATCCTTATATCCTCAGTCATTTTGAGACAGTGTCTTGCTAAATTTCTGAGATTATAGGTGTGCGCTACCACACTCTGCTGACATTACTATATTCTTATTAAACAATCCTTAATTTCTAATTATCTTAATTCAATTTGAAGAGGATAATGAGAAAATGAAGCTAGTTCTCTTCCTTATTTTTCCAGAGGAGAGAGAATGGGAGAAGTCATAGAAATCCTTTAGAGCAAGTGAAGTGTTTCTCATTCTTTAGCAGAAAAGAATCCTAAGATCTAGGCTAGAACTTGCTTGTGGAGAGGTCTCCAAGATGGACAGCACCACTTCCTCTCCTCCTGTGCGATGTGTTCCTGCCTTAGAGGAAGAGGTGGCTGTTTCCCCTCTTGTCAATCTGGGCTGTCCTTGTGACCGCCTCCACAATACAAAGGGCAGATGTACTTCACACCAGTTCTGGAACAAGCCTTTAGGAAACCGGAAGCTTTTGCATCTTTTCTCCTAGCAGCAACTGTGGCAGCTCTAGCATGTCACCCAGAGAGGCCATGTGGACAGAGACGTGCAGCAGCCCCTGCCATGCGTGCCACTCCAGCAGAGCCACCAGACACAAGTGAGGAGCCACCTTGGACATTCCAGCCCTAGCAGATGCCATGTGGAGCAGAGCAGTCCTGCTGAGTCCAGTTTAGACGATAGCACTGTGAGGAATGACAGATGGTGACTTAGGCTACTAGGCTGTGGGGTGGTGCAGCAAATGAGAAGAGCCCCCTGCTCTGCCCTGCCCACCTAACCTTGGATCCACCACCTGCCACGCAGAGCACCCAGAGGTATCCAAAGCAAACTGACTACAATGGGATGTCATGAGCATGAACTTTATATTAACATTTTCTTTTCTTTTCTTTTTTTTGGGGTACCAGAGATTGAATCCAGGGGTTCTTAACCACTGAGCTACATTCTAGCCCTTTTTATATTTTGAAACAGGGTCTCACTATGGTGCTTAGGGCCTAGCTGGGATTATGAGCATGCATCACTGCACCTGGCTCAAGTCGCAGAGGCTGGCTTTGAACTCGTGATCCTCCTGCCTCAGCCTCCCGAGCTGATGGGATTATAGGCGTGTGCCACTGTGCTTGGTTGTATTAATATTTTCAAGAAGTTGAATGAAATAGGTTTGAAATACTTTTCTTATAAGAGGCAGTTGTATAGGTTGAGAATCCCTTACCTAAAACAGTTTTGGATGTCAAATTTTCTTCAGTTTTTATGACATTTACATAAAATGAGCAATCTTGAGGATAGGACCCAAGTTGAAACCTGAAATTCATTTATATTTCATATACATCTTTTATACATAGCCTCAAAGTAATTTCATACAATGGTTTTAGTATTCCTGTCATTTATTTTTTTAAATTAAAAAGAATTTTGTGACAATATCTCACTGTGCTGCCCTGAACTCCTGGGCTCAAGTGATCCTCCTGCTTCAGCCTCCTGAGTAGCTGGGACTTAAGGAGTGGAGTACTACACTTGGCTATGCCATGCTTGCATTTCGACTGTGACCTATCATATGAGGTCATGTGTGAAATTTTCCACCTGTGGCATCATGTCAACACTCAAAAGGTTTTTTTTTTTTTTTGGTACCTGGGATTGAACCCAGGGGCACTTTACTACTGAGCCACATTCCAGCCCTTTTTATGTTTTGAGTCTGGGTCTTCCTCATTTGCTTAGAGCCTCACTAAGTTGCTGTGAGTTGCTGAGGCTGGTCTTGAACTTGTGATCCTCCTGCCTCAGACTCTGAAGCTGCTGGGATTATAAGCATGTGCCACTGCACCCGGTTCAAAAAGTTCTGGAGTTTGGAGTGTTTTGGATTTTAGATCAGGGATGTTCAACCTGTATGACACAGAACTTAGGTAAGCTGAATACATCTCTCAAAAGCTCACCTGAAATAACAATGAAGGACCAAGCCAATCACAGAATCTAAATAACATGTTCCCTTTTGACTGTATATTCCAAAATAATTACAGAAAAGATTAGAGGAAAAAAACACAAAAATACGATACTCTAGCACTAACCCTTTGATGAAAAAAGAACTAAGTTATGTGCAATAACTTTTCAATAAGCTAAGTATTTTGGCTATCCAGTTTCCCTTGGGTCTGAGATCTACTTGCCTACTGATCTTGTGGTGCTGGGGAATGCACCATGGCCTTGCACGTGCTGTGCAGGTGCTCCACCAGCAAGTAGCACACCAGTCCCACCTTCTGCTCAGTGCAGGTGCTCAATGCATTTGTGGTTCTGCTATCTGAGCAAACCCACTACTGTTGAGGAAACAGAACCACTGGAAGCAAAGCTTTAATTTTAGGATTAAAAGGCTGGGATTTAAGTCGCACCTGTTCGATGCTATTTAAATAGTGTGTATTTGTTCTGATAGATACTCACAGCAGGCAAGTAATGATCTTGTTAAAAAGGAAGTGCAGTACCAAGAAACATAAAACAGGAACATGACATTAGGAGAATGACGTCATTCTCTGACTACAGCTGGAGTAAGGACTGGGCTCTGTTCAGCTGTGGGCTCCATGATACAAACGGGACCTGGGGAACTTGGAAGGAGTTCAAAGGAAAGCCACATACACAATGAGCACCAGTGCCAAAATGCCATCAGGGTGCAGACAAGGGCACAGACGCGGCTCATGTCTCCAACCACTGGGTGCCCAAAGGTCAGAAGGGAGGGACGGGTGAAGGAGGGCTGCTGCTCCATGAGCCTGTCTCAGCCCCTGCCTCCTCTTCCCTTGCCCAGTCACTGTGATGCAGGGAGGACCTGCCAGGCCTGCGTGTTACTGTGGCTGGCATCTTGGGCTCCTTCTTTGGACAATGACCAGGGCCCGGCCCTGTGGCTAGACTACATGGAACTCCCCCACTTTCTTATCTCATGAAGGGACACTGTTACAGTGTTCCCATCATCACTAGGATTTGTCACTTCCTATAGTCAGATATCATAGAAAGGCAAGCTACTTGAGCAACTAAAATTACAGAATAAACTGCTTATTTGGTAAGCCTTCCAGGGACAGATGAGGAACCACAGGAACCGTGTTCTCCATCAGGCATTCATTTTGTGCCACTGCAGGCAGCCCATGAAGCTGGTGCTGGGCCTGGGGACACAACAGAGCACAGGATGCGATAGGACAGAGACACTGTCAGGTGGGTTTCCAGGGAAGAGGATCCTCGGGAAGCCTGGAGAGCTCAGGGAACCAAGAGCTAGAAGAAGAGGGTGAGCCGGGAGGGTGACAAAGGCGGCAAGGCCCTGGCACGGATAGCTGGACGCGAGCAGAAGACTAGGAGGCTGCACCCCACCATCCAGAGAAGGGTGGGCGTGTGGGGGATGCGGGCAGCAGCAGAAGCTTGTTAGCAGTTTGAGGGACATTAGAATCCACGAGGCCTGGCCAGAGATGTGAACAGGGCTGGGGAGGCAGGGCTGTGTGAGGACGTTATGGTGCACCCTGCAATTGGGGCCACCTGGAGCACTCCTTCTGCACTGCGGGCTGTCTGCGATTGCTCCCCAGGGTCCTGCAGGCCCAGGCATGGGTGCAGCGTTGGAAAGCTGTCCTGCTCTGCCTACTGTGCCCAGCGTGCTTCCTCTCCTGGGTCTGTGTTCACAGATGTTGCCAGGTTAAGGCTAGTTACTTCCCTGCTCATTCCTCTTCCATACTGAGATCCAACAGGAAAAGAATGAGGTAGCACACGGGTAGAGGGAACAAGTGGGTTCAGACAGTTAATCTATCCACATTTTTGGATAACCGGACAATTCAGCAGAAATGGAGCAAAGGAGGGAAGCCACCTATACAGCAGGCCCTGGAGCATGCAGAGAGAGGGTCAGGGAATGGAGGGAAGGAAGGAGGAGCAGCCTGGCCCACTGACACTGTGTCACTGGGCCTGTAGCGCCACGCTGCTGTAGCCTTCCTTTGCTGTACTCACCCAGGCCAGGGAGACGCTGGCGTCAAATGTGAAAATGAACACACCATGCACAAGGAGGAACGCCACCCATGCAGAGACTTACCTATAAAATATATTATTTATCTGTTTTCTGATGTACGCTCTCAGGCCTAAGAACTTTCCATAAATTCTGTGAAGGGTGGTTTTTAGAAAATCTCTCTCCCGAGGATCCTCGCTGTCAAAGAGCTCTAAAAGCTTCAAGAAAAAAAGATACTCAGTGACATGTACACTCTGCAGATCAGGGCTCCTGAAATTTCAGTTAATCTGTGACCTTACCTGCAATACAAATTTCTGATCAATATATTTCTTCGCTATATTAGGCTGGAAATCTGGAGACTCTAAAAATCTTAAGAAAAACTCATAAACAAGCTAGGAGGAAAAAAACAACAGTGAGTCAAACATCATGGAATTTCATCAAGAGATGAAAATATGCTTAGCTGAATCTTTAATGTCCTGAAAACATTAGATTTTTACAAAAAGCCACATCTCTACAGAATGGCGACAGCTGGATAGTCAGGACTGGGCTCTGTTCTGTGCTGGGGTGCTGGGGAATGCGCCGTGGTCTTGCACATAATAACTAGGGATGGTTATTATTTTTTTAGTGAGAACTGAGACTTCCCTTAAATGGCACTTCAGTAGAATGCTTTCCATGGCCTATGTCACCCATGCTTAAGTAACTGCTCAGAGCCCACGGTGCACAGTTCAGGTCATGACCAAACTCCAGGTGGGATCTGCAACCTGTCACCTGTAAGTGTCCTGCAGTGCTGAGGCACAGAGCCAAGCTGACAGGAACTCTGGGTCTGCTAGGGAAGACAGGCACAAAGACGAGACCCTCAATGGCAGCTGCTATGATTCCCCTTGGTGAGTGTACAGGGCATCATTGTGTGGCCTGCCTGTCAGGAGCACATGTGGAAGCCAAGTGCTGAGAGGGGAGGGCCTGGCTTCCAAGGAACCCTCCCCATGTGTCCCACTGTCTGGTTCCTTCCTCGTTTTCCCAGCTCTTTCTCTTCTGCCTTAGGGGTGATGTGCCCTCCCTATCCTCACGCCTGACCCTGCTTTGCTCATGCTGGCCTTGGTGCCTCTTAACCTAACAATCTTGTGTTTCACATATACATCATAAAAAGGGGTCAGTCAGCTCAGGAGCCTGGGAACACAGTGGCACAGTTAAATCCAGGTACTGAAGGCTGGAAACATACCCGCCCAAGTCCTCTAGGCTTGAACTCAATGGTTAACCACCAACAGGGCACTGCCACAGAAGACTTATCAGTGATTCCATGTCTTTACAGTCAGTATCAAGTGTGCACACACACCTCTCTGCTAAAACATTTTTCTTTTATCTATAGTTTTGTAAGGTCTGTGCCACTAAAGACCCGATGTGCACTGGCCAGCAGCTGAAGCCAGGCCTCTACTGAGCTGGGGGAACACACACACACATGTGGCTGGCACCCTCCTATTCAGGCCTGCCATCCCCCCAGTCCAGCACCTGCAGATGAGGCCAGGCTGCTTCTAATGTTGGTTCGTCCTCCTCTGGGTCAAACTCTGCTCCCGTGGGATTGGAGGAAGGCGGCAATGTTCGAAACATGTTAACTGCAAACTAAAATCCACATAGTCTATGATTACAACCAGGAAGTTTAAAATATTTACCAAGAGCATTTAAAACACATTAGTAATCTTAATGATAGTTGCTTCTCATGGTAAAGTGACCTGTCGTTAGCCTCAAAATTCAGAAGTAGTGTGGGTCCCCAAAAGGAGCCTGGGTCAAAAGTGCAGCAGGAAATCGGCCACCTCAGGCAGGTGAACATCAAGCTGACCCCCAGAGACATCTTGCCTTTTAACTGTCACACTTTCAAAGACACGATGCCAACGAATGCTGAGAGGGCAGTGGTAACTTCTGAGGTCCTGTCCCATCAGTGGGTGGGAAAGCAAGGAGAATGTTCTAGTGTGGCAGAGTAGAGGCTGAAAACCAGCCAAGGCTGCACCACACTGCCCTGTCACCGCTCCTGTCACGACGAGAAGCAGCAGTGTCACACACGATATCCCTAGGGACTGGCTGGTTAAACTCCGCAGTCCGTTTGGACTTGCACAATACACATTGACAGGTCAGTGATGTAAGCATCAAAGTTTAGTTTTTCTGTATCAACTTCCAGCCTATTTTTCTCTTGTACCAAGTCTAAATGTGACTTGTTACCTTGCCGATCTGTGAGCCCAATGAGGGCCTTTTACAGCTCTGCGCTCTGGAGCCTGGCTTACTGGTGAGCATCTTCTTTTTTTTTTTAAATTTTTTATTTATTCCCATAGAGTGGCATCAGTTCTACTGTGTATTAATGGTGAGGCTTTTAGCACTTAATCACTTTATTTATTTATTTGAGAGAGAGAGAGAGAGAGAATTTTTTTAAATATCTATTTTTTTTTTTTTTTTTTTTTTTCGCGGACACAACATCTTTGTATGTGGTGCTGAGGATTGAACCCGGGGCCGCACGCATGCCAGGCGAGCGTGCTACCGCTTGAGCCACATCCCCAGCCCGTGGTGAGCATCTTCAAATGTGCAAATCAAATATCTGACATAAAGATAAAATCCAGCTGCAGGACAAGGAGATGCCAACAGGGAGCCCAGCAAGCAGGCTGAGATGTCCCCTCTGGTCAAGGTCAGTGAGCGCTCGCTGCTGCCCATTTCTTCTTTTCTTTACAGTTATTGATACCCAACTTGTGAAGTCATCAGCTACCAAGGCCAGAGCACCAGTGCTCAGTGTGTGTCATCTGTGGGGTGTTGACGTGAAGGGCAGCTGCAGTGGGTGCAGGTGGTACAGGAATGGAGGAGGAAAAAATGACCAGAAGCCCACAACTAATTAAAAAAAAATCTTTTAGTGAAAATACAGGAGTGATTTTCCTAAGATTGCAGTAGAAAGGGAAAAAACTTGGAATTTAACCCTGAGCAGCTCTGGCTGCTGCTGGGGTGTGTCTCCAGCGATGTTCCCCTCTGTGAACCAGGTGTGTGCCCAGGCCCTGTGAGTCCTCCCAGACCTCCAGCAGTGAATCCAGAGACTGGTAGGCAGGACGCTCTTCGTCACCAGCCCGCAGGCCCTCAGCAGAAGGCAGGGAGGGCTTTTCGTGCCCCCTGCTCCGAGAGCCCAGGGACAAGGCAAGGAGGAACAAGGAGCATAGCCACTGAGGAGGCCACACGGTCTGTGGGGGCCAGTCTCCTCCAGGGCTTGTAAAGGGGGTCGAAGAATGGCATCTGTCATCGTCAACCCCCCTCTCTAGCTCTGTGCCTCCTGGGGCTGTGGAAGTGCTGAGAGGAGAGCAAGAAACGAGTCTCCAGCCCTCCTAACCTGCGGCTGTCTGGGCTCCCCTCAAAGCAAACAGTAGGGGAGGGGTCAAGGGCTGCCTTCAGAACAGGAGGGGCACTTGGCTCTTCAGTGAGTGGGTGCTGCAGGGCCAGCTAGGTGCCCACTTGGGAGCAAAGGCCTCTGGGGACCAGGATGACACCTGGCCAGAGGCAGAAGCAGATGGCAGAGTGGTGTACGGGGCCGCCAAGGAGACCACCATGGGACAGATGGCTCATGCAGCAGGGTGGCTGGAGTGTGGAGGAAGGGGTGGTGCTGTCCTCCCAGAGGCTGAGCACCACCTGGAGACCCAGGCGCACCACACAGGGAAGAACCACCACATTGTGGAGGCCACAGAGAGCAAAGGCACAAATGGGCAACTGCCTTCCAGCTCGGCTCAGGGGGAGCAGAGGGGCAGCCTCTCCCACCCCCACTTCAAGTCCCTCAGGGAGCTGGCTGCCCGTGGGGATGGGGTTGGGTGAGACTGGGCAAGTCTGAAAAGACAGCTTTAAGCTCAAGGGGGCCCTGTAGCTAGAGATGACTAGAAAGCTAAGCCTTCTGCTCAAGATGTACCCAGGGCAGGAGGGTGTGATGTGACTGATCACAGTTAAAGGCAAGAGTTAAAGAGGCACAGGTTCCCCAGTGTGACAGTTCACCTCATGCCAACCAGGCTAGGCTGGAATTCGGTTTATTCAAGAAGACACTGACTGGGTGTCCTGTGGAGGTGTTTGTAAATGTGGTTCGCATCTATGATCAGTGAACTTTGAATAGAGATGACCCTCCAACAGATGAGGTAGAGAGGGAAGATGGGAGGGGAGGGGAGGGGGGATAGTAGGGGATAGGAAAGGCAGCAGAATACAACAGTCACGAATATGGCATTATGTAAAAATGTGAATGTGTAACTGATGTGATTCCGCAATTTGTATCTGGGGTAAAAATGGGAGTTCATAACTCACTTGAATCAAATGTATGAAAGATGATATGTCATGAGCTTTGTAATGTTTTGAACAACCAATAAAAAAAAAAAAAAAAAGAGATGACCCTCCATGGTGTGGGTGGCCCTCATCCAATCAGTCAAAGGCCTTTAAGATCAAAGCTATGGCTTCCTGAAGGGAGAAGAGATCCCACCTCTCGCCAGCCCAGAGCTGCCTGCTTTCCACCCACTTGAAAACCCTCTCTCTCCCCAGCTCTTTCTCTTTCTCGGGTAAAATCCTGACTGAACGCCAGTTAGCTGGGGTTTCTTAGTGAACTGGTTGTGCTGTAGTAACTGCAGTTTCAAGTTGAAGCCCCCTGCAGTGCTCAGCCCAGGCCCACAGGCCATGTTCACTGACCATGTGCTGGATAGGTGCTTGCCTGGTGAACACAACACCTTGTTGTGACCCATGGGCCCTCTTTCAGTATGGAATGTTTGCACCCCTCCTTCAGACACTGAAGCCCTTAACCCCTCGTGGCTGTAGCTGGAGATGGAGCATGCAGGCAGTAACTGGAAAGTGAGGTCCTTAAGGGTGGGTTCTGATCTTAGGGGAGATCAGACTTCCCCCACCCAGTTGCACTTGCTGAGAGGAAAGGCCTCGTGAGGATAAAGCCATCCTCTGCAAGCTGGAGCCCTGCCAGCACCTTGATCTTAGAGAGAAACGGATGCCCACAGGTCAGGCCAGCATCCTGTAATCTTCAGTTCTGGCATCCTTGACAATGACCCTCCTAGAGCCACTCTGTTGATTAGAAGTATTTCTCTTCTCATGCTCTTCGTCCCTACTCTGTTCTTAGTTACTCTCCTTATATCAAAGAAGACATTTGGCATTTGTTTTTTAGGGATTGGCTAGCTTCACTTAGCATAATCTGCCCTAATGCCATCCATTTCCCTGCAAATTCTATGATTTTGTCATTTTTTAATGCAGAGTAATACTCCATGAAGATTAACATTAAACAGGGATGAGAGGTGGGAGGGAAAGGGAGAGAAAAGGGAAATTGCATGGAAATGGAAGGAGACCCTCAGGGTTATACAAAAGAACATACAAGAGGAAATGAGGGGAAAGGGAAAAATAATACAAGGGGGAGAAATGAAGGTCAGTAGAGGGGGTAGAGAGAGAAGAGAAGAGGGGAGGGGAGGGGAGGGGAGGGGGGATAGTAGAGGATAGGAAAGGTAGCAGAACACGACAGTCACTAGTATGGCAATATGTAAATCAATGGATGTGTAATTGATGTGATTCTGCAATCTGTATATGGGCTAAAAATGGGAGTTCATAACCCACTTGAAGCAAAGTGTGAAAGATGATATATCAAGAACTATGTAATGTTTTGAACAACCAATAAAAAAAAAAGAATTAAAAATTAAAAAAAAAAAAAAGAAGTATTTCTCTTGTGTAAGAAAAAAAAAAGTCTACTTGTAACTCCTACCCACCTTTCTTTTTTTTGGTATCGTGGATTGAACTCAGGGGCACTCAACCACTGAGCCCCATCCCCAGCCCTATTTTGTATTTTATTTTGAGACAGGATCTCACTGAGTTGCTTATTGCCTTGCTAAGTTGCTGAGGCTGGCTTTGAACTCACGATCCTCCTGCCTCAGCCTCCAGAGTGGCTGGGAGGTGTGTGTCACTGCACCCGGCTTGAAAAGAATTTATAACAGGTGAGTCCACTAGAAGAATAGTGGCCTCTCTCTTCCACGCACACACTGAACATTAGGTTCTGAGAGTTGGGCTGCTAGGAGATACATTCCTGGGAAAGGGGGTAAGTCCCTTTAGCACTAGTTTTTTTTGGGGAGGGGATATGGGGGATTGAACTCAGAGGCACTCGACCACTGAGCCACATCCCCAGCCCTAAACTTTGTATTTTATGTAAAGACAGGGTCTCACCGAGTTGCTTAGCGCCTTGTTTTTTGCTGAGGCTGGCTTTGAACTCGAGATCATTCTGCCTCAGCCTCCCAAGCTGCTGGGATTACCGGTGTGTGCCACTGTGCCTGGCAATATTATCTTTTTTTTTGAGAGAGAGAGAATTTTTTAATATATGTATTTTTTTAGTTTTCGGTGGACACATCTTTTATTTTATTTTTATGTGGTGCTGAGGATTGAACCTAGCACCCCGCACCTATCAGGTAAGCGCGATACTGCTTGAGCCACATCCCCAGCCCAACATTAGCTTTTTAAATACAAAACCGTGGCAGAGCATGGTGGTACACACACTTGTGACACCAGCAGCTTGGGAAGCTGAGGCAGGAGGATCAAAGCCAGCCTCAGCAACTTAGCGAGGACCTAAGCAACTCAGCGAGACCTGT